AGAAGACAGAAATCTATGATCGAAGTTCAACAGTGACTGGCAAAATAAGAATACATGCTATTTCCATATTTATAAAAGCCTACATGCATGTTGTTGCATTAATGTGCAGTAAAAGCAATGACAAACTCTGTCCTAGTATCCACCATCATAACTGTAACTAAAGGATACGATAGGATACGATACAAAATGAAACAAAACGATACAAAAAGCGAAACAGAAAGAAAGATTCTTAACCTTTGTTTAGGACCTTGATTTGCTGGATAAGTAAACACATCATCCATAACTTGGTGATTAACTTCCAATTCCTAATTACATTGCATGTTAATTATTTTAACAGGCTGCATTCAGTAATGATCTAAATGTTCAGTCTACAGTGTAAAGTACAGTGGTGCTTGTTCTGGGCTTCCATTATTTAGGTCTTAACAGTTCCATTGTGTCCCATGAAATCAACTTTACCTGTTTCAACTGACTGGTCAGGCAATACATTTTGAGTTTTATAGGCTGACAGGACTTGAACAAAAACACTCCTAAAAAGGAATATCTAATGAAAAGGGGTCCCGGGTGTCTTGTTTGATCTCTGGGTATAGGACACTGCTGCAACACCACAGCAATAACCTCACAACACCAGCAGTTAACACCGAGAAAAAAAAAAGATTGCCTTCGTGGTATAAGGGAGATGTTTGCATGACATTTTCCCCCTTGCGGTAAACCCTTCCAAACTTCACTGAGCATTATCAGCCTCTTTCAGGATAATGAGCTGTCCTTGAGTGCACTGGGGAAAAGAATTTCAGCGTTGAGATTGAACAAACCAGCAGAGACGTTACTGTGACTCGGCTCTGGCTCTCTGAATGAATATTTAACATTGTGGAGGAGACATGGGGAGAGGGAGGAGATATATAAAGAGTATCTGAGGTGAATAATGAATAAGGTGCATTGCAGGGTGGAACTATGTTTACTGACACATCACCCACCGATTAATCAGAGGGCTGTTAGAATAATTGCTGAATGTGCAGGCTGCTGTGCATTAATTAGGACAACCAAGTGAACCCAGGTGAACGTTATCAGTGTTGGTAGAGATCCAGTGTATCCCCACTTTCTCATTTTGGATGGATGTTAAACGCATGACAAAGGTCTTGTAACCAAGTGGTTCTCGAACCTATTTCCGAATATAAGCTATCAGAATAATTGTGAGTTGTCGAGGGAGCTTTCATACAAAAGAACTGCTTTTGAGAAATCTCTGGTAACATCAAAACAGCAAGAAAGCAACTGTCAGTCCTGCAGACATTGTATGTGTCTGCAGCGCATGCCAACTAAGCCCATTGACTGTCATAGTTACACAACAAAACTGGGTAATGTAAACAACACACCACTTCAGAATTTTTCGAGGAAGTTTTCACATTACTTGTATTGGAAAACCTCTGAGTTAATTTGCTGGCTAGTTCATTAACCTGTTTTCAAACATCTACTAAACAGGCTGCATTGAAATAAGGATACAAGAAATCAGAAATCATTTGTTGTTTCCCCTGGAAGATTTATTATACAAAACTTCTGTGACACCTGAGTGAATGAAGTTGTGGAAAACTAAAAGTACAACTGGTGCCATAATGTTGTCTCTGAGGACTGAGAGCGATTTGTTACACCCCATTTTTTTAGGACCGTTTTCTTTTTCAAATGTACAAATAATAAACTAAAAAAAAAGTAAAATTTGGAAAAACATTCCAGTTTTAACCCAATATTATTATTTTTTAACAATACAAAAAGCTGTACCACCACACAATAAACAGACAAATCATCACCACTATTTCCTGCACGATAGAGTTTTGACCAAAAAAAAAAAAATGAATGGACAACAGTGTGATCATCTGGGAAGTGGAGAGAAAGAGAGTTAATGAGTGTTGAATTATTTGTGAGACTAGAAAGCAGTCTGACCTGAGGCTGCAGAGTCATGATGTTTGAGTACAGAAACCTTCAGGAGGGAGGTGTCAGCTTCTGATCATGTCAATATTGACGATCACTTTTTCTACACTGCTGGGTCAAAATGCCCCTAAAAGCATTGGTGCAAAAGGGACATGTCATTACGTCACTCAATAGTTGTTTTCTCTTATGACGACAATTGTCAAATAATTGACTAAGCCATAAAACGACTTACTTCCTGTAGCGGCGTTCCTGAATATGAAGCCGCTGAGAGACTAAGGTTGGGCCTAATGTATTTGTCCGAAGCGCTTTCAAAAGAATACTGTGATACGTTTGACTTTTTTATTAACGTAAAAAAAGATAATCAACTTAACTTATAATAACGTTCATTAACTCATAATCACAGTGAACCAGAAACAATAGTGGTCAACAAAAAATACGGCAACCCAGCTCACCCCCTCTCTTCCACTGAGAACAAAAGGTGAACAGGTGAGTTAAATCAATACAGCTCCGCCCATACCCATGTGACCCAACATCCCCCTACTCAATATAACCATAATAAATGATATAATAACCAATAACCCAAAACACCAATAAATAACAGACTCAATCCATGGCTCCAACACTTCCTAAGAAATCAATAAATGAACTCCAACTCATCCAAAACTCTGCAGACAGAGTACTAACATGGACAAAGAAAATAGAACACTATGGTGTGGTCTTCAAAGAAGAGTCCTTCAGCAGGAACATGCTTTATGCAGAGCCTCTGGATAGCCTGCAAAGGCAACTCCAAGAAAAGACCAGCAGCCGCCTCAAGCTCAACTGGAAAGACATGGTGGAGATCAATTATGCTCTGCAGAAAGAGGTGGAGGAGTTCCGAAAGGACAAAGAGCACCAAACGTTGAGGGCTGACCACCTTCAGAAAGAGCTGGAGGGAGTCAGTCAACAACTGTGTGCTACCAGTGAGGAGATCAGTATGTGGAGGAAGGTCAAGAAGTTCTGCAGTCCAGAAAGACGCCGCTAATACAAGCAGCAGAGGACGCAGAACACCTGTTCCTGTATAGTTGTATTTCTGTAGAGCAATCTGAAGTAATTGACCTACTGTTGTTGGCACACTGGTATGTTATTATGTTATATGTTAATCTAATTTCTTGGATATCTTTTATTTATCATTCAAATCTGACTTCTCTTTTTAAAATGGATTTTACTCATTTTGATTTCTTGTTTTAATATGTTTGAATGTTCTTATAGTCAAACCTTCAAAGCAAAACACTCTGCAAATATTAATTTCCTTTAAAAAAAATGTTTTTCATGGAACAAATCAAGCTCCACCAGCCAAACAACTCATTGCCTTAGTTTGATTTAGTATGTGTTTATTATTCACTTTAATCTAAGATTGCACACATTTTTACACTGAAGGATTACATACATATTTATGTTGTACTAATAACCATATCCTCGTTTTTGGGTTACCTGGTTTGTGGAGGATGGCACTTCCTGATTGGCTCAAAGGGCATGGCTAAAAGCTGTGAACACCTTTAATCCTGCAGCTTGTTTGTTGGAGCCACACCAGAACATGAAAAAACATGAAGCTGTAAGAAGAACTGTAACAAAAGATTAATTAATACATTCAGTGCACATGATTTACATAGACCCCCATAATATGAAGACTTAAGTCCATTTTAGGCCTTGTTTTAAGTACAACAAAGTGGTAAATATATACTCCTGTATCTTCCTGTTACCCGATTGATAAGTGTCAGTTAAATGACTATTAGAAATAATGTCTCAGTCATATTTTCTATTTCTTCTGAGTCTCACAAGTAGTTGTGTAATAGAACACTTTTATAGAGACGGCTCAATATTTTATTGAATGTGCTTTATAATTAATGTAGAGTGATACCAATGAGCTCACTGTCTTTGGTTAAAGTGTTTTTCATGTCTTTGTTCCCTATCTTAACCTGAACTAGTCACCTAAAATTTGATTCTTTTATGAGCATGAAAGAGCATAAAACAGGATTTAGATTATTTTACCAGTGTATGCAGTTAGTTTTGCCAAAACCTGCTATTTTATAGATTTATTTCATTTCTGATTGTAAGTCTATTCATGTTACAGTCTGAGACAGGACAGCTTGTAAGAGATTTCATATCTCTATAATGTTCGTGGTTAAAATAAAGGCTGAATGTAATGAAAATCTTTAAGCTGATTGAATATATCCTTGAAACTCTTGCATCATCAGCTTACATGGCAGCAAATTGATGAGCTACTTACGTCCTACAATCTACCTTTAAGTATTGTCTCATCTTGATATAATCCTTATCTTTTATTAAATGACCTTGACTATGATGAAACACCTAGCAACTTAAATCTTTGATATTTTCATTATGTAGACCCAAGTGCCAAGACCATGTTTTTACTCAGACTTGCTTTGTTAACTTCTGTATTGACGTATTCAAACTGAATTGCATCAGCTAGAGTGTCCGTGGTTAGAACTACAGCGCAGTGTCTTATTCTGCACGATTGTTTCAGTGAGAAACTCTACAAAGATGCACATCTTTGTAGAGTTTCTCACTGAAACGTAAACATGCAGCTAGAAAAACTTAAAATTATGTCAATAGCCTTTTGAGGAAAACAACATCTGAATTTTAAAGGAAAATATCTTTTCAATCCAACTTTCTTCGGTTTCTTTGGGGAATGTGACGTGTGAATGCAGATCATCCACTGAGAACATTAAGTCCTCATCGGGTATTTTTGGAAACATCTTTGTTAGTTTCCTCCTTTGAGTATTTCTGATCTAAAAAAAGTGGTTTCAAAAGATGCTGGCATGATATTCCTCTGTGTGAAGAATGTACTCTGTCTCTAAAAACATTTTTAAAACAGGCATTCATATTCCACTTCAAATTTGCTCTCAACTTTCCATAAGTCCTTCACAATTAGTTTTTCTGCACTAGGGTTACAAAAAAAATGCACTTGCTTTTGACATAACCGACTGAAAGTTTAAAGACTAAAAAATGTATAGAAAGTAACCAACCATATAGCCCCCTGATTGTATAATAAATCATATAAAAATCACAGACTACACTTTAAGTTCCTATTTCACCACATTTCAGTTTATTGTACAATCTGATCAATTCAGACAAAATGGTCCATTTCACTGGATCATTACAACCGTGTCAACATGAAAACAATCACATTGCTAATATCACCCAGTGTGACAATATCATCAGGGATTACTACACCTTTAGAGGTTAAGGTGGATCAGGTTTAGTGTTGTTCAACTCTGGAGACTTCAAGTCTGTAGTTGTAAGAAGATGACACTGGTATTTAAAAAGAAGTTTTTTCAAGTTGCTTCAAAATATGTACAGATAAAAAATATTAAAAATTTCATTGAAAGACTAGTGCGCTTGGAGAGAGAGAAAAAAAGACACGCGTGAAAAGTTATGGACGGTGCGGAAGGTAACAATGAAATGTTTATTCTTAAAAAGTGTGTGTCCAGCACACACCAACACTTAAACTCACTCACACATGCTCACGCTCCCTGCAGAAGAATGAGGAGAAAGGACTTTGGAGACCCTGGCTGGCTGTAGTGTTTGTAAAAGTTGATCATACATTCTCGCACACACATGCTCACAAATGTTTAGGACCATGGATTCGGCTTAAGAGACGGACGGAAAGTCGAAAACAAAGAAATGTAACAGGTAGGGCAGGCAACCTTTTTTCTTTATTCCTACCAGCCAAATGGACTGCCTGAATTAAAATCCCCTTTCAGGTTTTTTTTGTCTACCACCAGCATTTCAACAGATCTCAATGCAATGATTGACAGTCTGCCACAGAGGCTGGTAGTGTGGACAACTTAACCTGCCACAACCAAAGAGTGACCAGCATCTGGCTGCTAGCTGGTGTTCATTTCCAGCCTAGTGACAGAGTCAGAGGGGATCGGGGGACAGACATGTGGTTGTGCTATGAGCACTTCCACACACACACTGCCAAGCTCCCTCCAAAGAACATGTAGAGCAGGTTCTTCACTTCGTGTGTAACCTCAAAGCCGAAGCCTTCGCCGATCACCACGTGCCACGAGCTGCCAAATTTCTTGTCCATGGATTCCTTAATCATCTTGGCTGCACTCTGGGAGAGACGGTGAGGACAGAAATGGTCAACAAATAAGGAATGCGATCTTAGTGAAGAAAATAGATAGAATGAAGCCTTTCAATGTTAAAAAAAAAAAAAAAAAAAAAAAAGCCCAGACACAATTTTGCTGACAAGAGTGTGATCTCATTCACTTAATAAAGTCATACTTTAGACAGAGCATGGCAGGAAAAAAACACATTTACCTCATTGTTGGTGGCAAACTTTTCACAAGCTGTAACACAAAGCTCCATTGTCTCAACCCTCATTTCCTCTGGCATGTCTGTGTGCTGCAGAAAAAACACAAACAGTTTTTCCTATGGCTGAGCTACAGACAAGCAAGAAAAACTATTTAGACTTATTTTCATTTTCATTTATTTTTTTATTTTGAACATGTTTTAAAAATAAAATAAAATTATACATTACAAACAAAGCAAACAGCAATCAAAGCATACTTTCTGTCGTGGTTCGATTATTTTTCCTTAACCAGTCCATGTTCGAAAAGGGTGTAGGATGAAGTTAAATAACTTATCCAGTCCTACCCCTTTTATCTTTTTAGCTTAATAAATTCATCCAAGACTAAGCTTTAAAAAATTAGTAGCATAATACAGATAACGAAGTAACAAAAGCAACAGATATAATGTATTACACACATTAATTGGTAGACGGTACAGACCTTACAACTGATATTGATTTAATTTTTCCCATTGACAGTTCAATTTTATATTTGTATATGTTATTCTTGTAAATGTGTTTAAACTGTCCTAACGTTTCACATGTTTTCATTTCATCACTGCGGCTGTTCCATAAATTAACACCCTTTGTTGTAATACAGTGTAGTTTAATGTTGGTCCTTACTGCTGGGTTTTTTAACATAAATATTCCTCTGAGATTGTGTTTACTGTCCCTCTGCTGAAAAAACTTTTGGATACTGTTCGGTATCTGATCATTTTTAACTTCGTACATGATTTGAGTGGTTTTAAAGTCGACCAAGTCCTTGAGGTTCAGTGTTTTAAATTTGATGAAGAGTGGGTTTGTTGGTTCTCTGTAGTTGGAGTTAGTTATAATTCTTATGGCTCTTTTCTGGAGAATGAAGACTGGTTCTGTATTTGTTTTGTACGTGTTCCCCCACACTTCCACACAGTAACTAATATATGGGAGTATTAGGGAGCAGTACAATGTGTAAAGTGACTGTTGATTTAACTTTAAATAAAATTGCAGTACATTTCGATATTTTTGCCTAAATGTATTGTATGTATGATTTCCAGGATAATTTATTGTCTACAATAACTCCAACAAATTTTATTTCAGCCACTCTTTCAATTTCCACATCATTAATCATAAGTTTCTTGGTCAAGCCAGTTGATCGGTTCCCAAAGATTATAAATTTGGTTAGTTCAATGTTAGTTTATTTGAGTCAAACCAACTCTTCAGTTTCTTTAATTAATTTCCCACTGTATCCAAAAGTTTTTCCAGATTGTCCCCACAGCATAGTAAGTTTGTCATCTGCAAAAAAAAAAGTTTTTAAAATACAGAGGACTTCACATATGTTATTGATGTACAGAAGAAATAATAATGGCCCCAACACTGAACCCTGGGGAACTCCACACTTTAGCTTCATCTGTTCTGATTGAACCTGATTGATTTGAACATATTGATATCTGTTGTCTAAGAAACTGCTGAGCCAAGTGAGTGCAACTCCTCTGATTCCATATTTCTGTAGTTTTATTTGTAATAAGTTATGGTCAACAGTGTCAAATGCTTTTTGAAGATCCAGGAAAACTCCTACGGCATAATCTTATTCTACAAATTCTATGAGTGCCATTGAGGTGGTCCTGTTGTTTCTAAATCCGTACTGTTGATCATACAGTATATTGTGTTTAGTAATAAAATCATGTTGTATACAAAGTATAGTTTTTCCAGTATTTTAGAGAATTGTGGCAGTAAAGACATTTTTGTCTTATTTCGGCTACAAAATTGTCTGTTTAGTGTGTCTGTCTTTTTCAGCCATATGAATCGGTGAAAACAAGAGTGTTTCTTTTTGTTTCCTGAACACACATTACATTACCTCAACAGGAAATCCGCCATCTTGAAATGTTTGGTTTAAAAATAAAGAATGTAAAATTAGCCATTTCCAGGGGTCCTTCTTTAATTTACTCTTCCTAGGGGATTTATCTGATCCAACTTATTAGTTATTGCACAAATTGAAAATATCTTTCAGAAAATGTCTATTAAACTCAAAAGGCATGGCAACGCCTCAAAGTTTGATGTTTTGCCATAAAACAGGAAGCTACTGTAACTCAAACATACATGATCCAAAGTGCCTCAAACTTTACTTTTGTTCAGTGTCCCCATCTGAACCTTACAGTATTTGGCTTTTTTTTTTTAACAGTTTTGTGATTGATAAAGTTTTCACAGCACACTTTGAGGCTGTGCCACAACCCCAACATGCACCAAACCCCAAAGTGCACAAAGGTGTGAGGCACATTCCTGTTGCTTGCATCCCTAGATGATTTTATTTTTCTATATAAGACAGCACTTACAGGCAGCACTTAGTGTCCGGCCTGTCTGCCTCCACAAAAAGGGCTTGTCTATGTCTGTGACAATCTCAAAAGAGTCTCCTCCATATTATTTGTCACCATGGTGACAAGGTTTGCCACATTTGTTGTCTGGAAAGGAGCCGAACTAAGCCATAACACTCTGGAAGACGCTTGGTTACCTTTACATGACCTGGTCAAACTTTTTTGTAACATGTTGCTCTCATAAAATTTTAATTGGGCTACTAATTATCCAAAATCAATATTTGATAAGAAAGTATCAAATGCAACTTATTTTATGAAAATAATAAACTTCTGGTACTTCCTGCACATTCTATAAGATTTTAATAGTCATCGTTCACATTGTGGTCTAATGATGCCAATAAACAAAGTACTATCAGAACTCTTTACACAATTATGAATCAAACAGATTGTACATCCTCCATCGCAGCATTGCTCAATGCCTTCTATACTAGGTTCAACATGAGTGACACAGAGGATTGGACCCAACCAATGCCAGCTACGTCCCTACACCACCAATCAGTGTGGAGGAGCGGAAGGTTGTCTCCATCCTTTATAAATTACACCAAGGAAAGCCCCTGAACTGGATTGGCTTAAGGGCCATATACTGAGGGAGTGTGCGGCCCAGCTGGGCCATGTGGTGGTCAGCTTTTCCAGCTGTTCATGATATCCAGCTTCGTCACTAGAAGACATCCATTATCCCTGTTCCCAAAAAGCCTCACACCAAAGGCATGAACGATTTTAGCCCTGTGGAACTCACCTCCACTCTCTGCAAATGCATGGAGAGGGTGGTCACTGAGGAGCTCAGCACCATAGAGGAGAGCTTGGACCTGTCACAGTTTTCCCATGAGGCAAAGTGGGGAACTGAGGACGCCAGCCTAGCCCTCCTGGACACAGTGGCAAAGCACCTTTTTTTAGTGTTTTTCATAGCTTATCCCAGTCGCCTACATAGTTTGATCTTTACAGACAATGTACTCCTTCAGATTAAAGCTGTATAAGCTACTTGTCTTATTAAAGAAGACAACAGCAGTTGCCTGAAAAAGTTTTGAGCCTTTACTACAAAACACTAAGTGACAGAATTTGTGAAATTCAGTTAGAATTTTCGTTTTGATGTGCCACCCCAAGATTTTCAGTGGCCCAAAAAGGCCTATTAAACAGTGCCAGGCAGGCCAAGGAGAGATACAGACAGACAGAGAGCATTTGCATATGGACAGAGGATGCAATCAGATACGCAATATGGATTCTCCATTAACAGATAAAAGCAATAACAGCTATCTCATATCAACAATCCCTCCGCAGGCTGAATGTGCACTCAGAGTTCCAGATGTTTTATTTCTTTCCTGTTATAATAATTGGTAGTGAACCCATGCCTGCAGGCTCATGATACAGCACAGACACCAAATAAGGGTTACAATTTACAATTCCAAATTATGCCATCATTTCAGCCAGAATTGACAAATTAACTGCTGGCCTCCCCATCGTACTTTGTCAAGAGGTGGGGGCAGTACAAAACTTGACAGAGGCTTAACCCTGTTTTAACACAAGTTTGTTATTCACAATGTATTGTTCTGTATGGTAAACATGATTTGCGAACTGTTGCGTCTCTTGGATGCATGGCTAATTGGTTTACCGCATCTTTATAGATTATGTGTCAGAGACGTAGGATTTACATCACTGAGGTGTTGTTAGGAGTGAGTAAGAAAACACACAGTTAATGGACAGGTTTGTGTCAACCTTTTTTTGCGGAGAAGTTTTCATAAACGCTATGTACAAGATAAAACTGACAGATTTCTGTCTGCATACTACAAGCATATTTAATGTAGACAATAAGTCTCAAATCACAATGTCTGTAGATTTTATCTGCAGCCTAGATCATTCCTATCACAACTAAAGCATCCTTACAAAAAAACAAGGAGTGTCAAAGTATTTCAACGCACAGTAGGCTGCTGCCACCCGTAGTAAGGATGTTATTGTCCTCTACACAGAGACCTGATTCCTTTATAACTTACCCTGATGAGGGGGAAGCTGTTCATCCTCTTGTAGTCGGCCTCCTCTTTCTTTCCCTCGCCAGTCCCAGCCATTCCGACTCCTGCAAAAGGAAACAAACAAACATTAACTCTGATATGCCAATGTGTGTTTAAAAGGGTATTTCACGAGAAGCACGTACAGTCTCGTGTTGCAGATGAAGCTCACATCTGGAGCTAAAATACTTTACAACATGACCCGAGTGTGGAAGAAGAGATTCAGTAGCTTAGCTGAGGCTTGCTAGCTAGCTACTAAATGTATCTTGTCATGGTCATGACAAAAAAGAAGCTGTTTCTCTTTCAGACAACACCGACGGGTATGGTACAACACTTCTGGTTCGTTGATAAGACTGGGCGTGATGAGGTTAGTTATCTAGTGAAGCTGGGCACTAGCTGGCTAATTAGCTTAGCTTGTTTGATAGCAAACAGCTGATGCTACCGGTGGATGTTTTCTACCCCGAAAACAACTATTTGAATCAAACGACGAAACAACACGAGTAACGTCGTGTATGGTAAATTGATGATGCATGCAGTGACATACGGGTTAGTAAATAAATGTGAGTAACTTACGAGGCGTTTGTCCAGCGAAAACTTCTGTTTGACTTCCAGTTCGGTTGTTAGGGAGACATTTCAAACAACTGATGTCCGTAAAGAGGATGTCCCGCCCACTCGAGGATAGCTTTGCCCCTATTGGTTCACAGTCTGTCAATCAATTCGAAGGCTCTCTTCAGAGTGACAGAGACACGGTTTGGAAAAAACACTTTTATATGTCTCTTACCGTTTGTATAGTTTGATATAAGTGAATCATCATAATTTATACACTAAAATGAGCAGTGGAAGTATTTTTATTTTGTATTATTTATTATTATTATTTATGAAGTATTTTTAATTTTTATTTTGCCTAATTAAAGAAGTAGTAACACAGCATCAGCATTCAGCATCTTTTGCACTATGCACCACTGCACTGTTTCATGTTTAGTCATGTAAATATTAGTCTTTTCTTATTATGTTTATTGTTGATATTTAATGTTGTACCTGTACAGAAGAGAGCACAGTTCACCAAAGTTAAATTCTGACACACTGTCAAAATAACAACATCATTTTACTTGTCTAAGCAATAAATAGCCTACTTAAGTCAAACACATTTATATGAACATTACAAACAATCTTACTTATCTTACTTATCCCATCTCTCCCCCATCCCTTTCCAACCCCGGCACAGTCTAGGCCTGTGAAGGCTGTTTTGTCATGAGACGGGGATCCGGCCGAAGATTTCTGCCTTTTAATAAGGCAGTTTTTTTCTTACCACTGTAACTTTTGCTGCTTTGCTAAAGTGCTCATGATGGATAGGCCGGGTCTTTGTAATATAGCAATAAGTAAGGTCTTTGACCTGCTTTTTGTAACATAACAATGAGTAAGGTCTTTTTACCTGCTCTTTTGTAATGTTAAAAGACAAAGAGTAAGGTATTTTACCTGCTGTCTTGAGATAACACTTGTTATGAGTTGACGCTATACAAAATAAATTGAATTGAATTGAATTGAATTATCTTATTTTTTTTTTTTAATGAGTCATCCTCTGCACTCATATTGCATTGTTTAGTTTTTTCTATGTTCATGTTTGTTTTTTGTTAGTTTGATTTGGCTATTTTTCTATTTAAGCAAATGCATAGATAAGTAATCCAAACTATTGTACTTTGTCATATGTTGAAGCTGACTGAAAGGATAAGCTAACTGACTGTTGTTTTGCCCAGAGATACAGAGAACATCTGCAACAATTGTGTGCATTCAGATAGATGATTTTAAATTGCAATAAAGAAGTATCAAGTTTGAGCTGGTTCAGGTGGAGCATACTTCATATACTGCAGGTTAGCTTGATGCATAATGATAAGTCAAAATGGATTATTGTGTTATATTCTGCATTCAATAATATTGTGTTTTCCGATGTGCAGACACAGACTCGACTGCGTGTCCCTTTTATTTTTCTCAGTCCGTTTGTAAAATGAGCACTCTTCATAATAACATAAAGCTATGCATGTGCTGTATTACAACGTTATGTACATGAGGTAACCGTACTTTTACATGTGTTTTGTATTCACAATAATTGAGGATTATTGCATTCTATTGGCAATGTAAGTGCCAATAAACGAATAAATACATTTAAAAATATGTCTTACATAATCTGCCTTCAAAATCAGTTGAGTGCAAGAGGTGACACAAATACTACTTTAAATACTCATATTAGATTTAGAGCCAGAATAGAGCTTTTTGCTGAGTAGATTTATACAAGGATTATGTTTTGATGTTTTGTGCAAACAATAAAACAGGCACAATTTCTTTAGTTCACTTGGGTATGTAGGCTATACTGCTATGCAGTGCCATTTTAGTCTTTAACATAGCGTCCTACTTTATAGCTGTAATTACAATATTTGTATCAGAAATACAGGAGCGTCGCAGTAAAAAGTGTAAAATTAAAGTGAAAATACTTAACAATGGTATTTTTGTGTTAATTTACTTTAACTGTCTATGCTCTAAAATCACACCACTATCTTTCAGGCTGCTAGTGAGTAAAAGCCCTTTTTAATCCCTCCCTAATCAACCCTCTTACTGAATATGACCCACATTCAGATGGAAACATCTGGGTGGTGGAATCCCCATGTGGAGAGTTTTGACCCAAAATTGACATTCAGCTCTACACACGCTCTACACACGTTCACAAACACGACACACATGTACACGCACACACGCACACACAAACACAATACACACACACACGCACGCACGCACACACACACACAATCACAAAACCTCTGTGTGGGAGTTCTTTCTGCTAACCTGAGCTGTGCATTTAACCTCGGACACCCACTGGAATAACTCTAAACTAAAATACCAACACAAACATCTGGATTGATTTTAAACACTGACTCTCGTCTGGATTAGAGCAGATTATCAGTCACAGTGAAGGCAGACAAACTGATCATATGGTAATCTTTCTCTCCTTCTGCTCTCTCTCTCTTCAGTCCTGCAAGAGGGATGCAACTTGTTGACCTATTTTAACACCTCACCTCCCCTGCCTCCGCTTCTCCACTTTGTGTCAGGTTAGAGCAGGCCATTAACTAATTGCACAGCAACAGATTACATTATGAAACATTTTGTCTTTTAAACAACCCAGCAGAACCAATTTGATAACAGTGTTGTTCAAAGAGCCACATAATAAATTACACAATTGTTTTTTAAGGTATTCTTATGACCCAGTCTTCATGTTCAGATGGAGTTTGTTCATTCTTCAACACAAGGTTTCTGTTGAGAAGGAAGAAGAAACCAAGGTAATTTTTGGATTCATGGATAGGCAACATAGAGAAAGAAAGAAAAATGGGGGGCAATAACATTATTCAAATGTCCAGAATTAACCCCAGATGTTGTCTTTTTTTTTTTTATAAAACCTTAACAGTTTGGTGACCAGGGCACCCCAAACTTTGAGTACTAGATGTCTTAGATTAAACAGTCTGTTAGTCTGTATTAAACACTGCATTACTTTTCAAAGCTGTCCCGCGCTGTTGTTGAAAAGGTCTAATTAATATTTTTTTCCATGTGTAAGTAAACCAAGCATCCTTTGTAAAAGTTACTGTAATTGAATGGGATTCTTCATGAAACAAAAATTAACAAAATGAAATGAATTAAAATAAAATGTTTGTATGTCAAAACAGTTACTGGACAATCCATGTTATAACTTACTTTTTCTAAACAGGAAACATTAACTCATATCCATGTCAGAAAAATGCATTACGTGATCATACATATGCATTCTATGCGTCATGCTGAATTATTTATTTGCATTCATTGCCTTTTTTTTCTTTTGTTTTCGTTTTTGAACTTTTTGGCCAAAATGTACTGTTTATGTGAAATAAATTAAACTGCTCTGGCAGCAAAAACTAAGAAATAATAATACATGTATAACAGTGGAGAAAGGTCAAAGAAACATTACATACAGAAAAGAATATACAGTACATACAGGATAAAACGTATCGTTAGACCCAGAATAAGGTGCATGTCAATGAAATGCATAGTAATAATACATAGATTAGTTTGAATTCTGCTGTATGCAGAAAGTCAAAATATTATGTTCATACTATATTCACATCTGATTTTTTACAAATAGATTACAATGTTTGCAATTAAGCAACCTGTGCAAGTGTGCACTCATGTTAGATCAAGAGTGGAAAATCATTCAAATACAGAGAAATAGACAGGGCGAGTGAGCATTTAATACCCCGGTGAGAGACTGACAAAAAAAATGCCAGAGGGCAGGAAGGTAAAGGCTGAAATGAAAATGTTGAAACAAAGCTGAAGGATGAAGGGTGGGAGAAGGAGGTGTTCTTGACAGCAGGTGCAGTAAAAAAAAGATGCCAACTGGTGAGGAAAGGTGCATAAAAGAGAGGAGGAGGGGTGGTGGTATAAAGACCTTGAGGAAAGAATTCATCATGATGGAAAAATATTCTGTAAACATTTTGTGGTGAATGTGAGATGCAGCAGAGTACTGGTTAGAAAATGCTGGTAAAAACATAATGAAGAAATAAAGGTTATGAGGTTTGATCTACAGGGAAAATACAGAATTTAGATATGAAGGAAGTATAAGAACTGCTGGACTGGAGAGCTTGCAGTGATGTTTTGCAGTTGGAATTAAATTGGAATTAAAATTTTGTAATTTAATTTTGTAGTCACAAGGAAGCCAGACACAAGCAAGCGCCTTTACTGCAGGGTATAAGAAATATTAGGAAAGAAATGAAGGATTTGAGGTATTAATATTTGAGTTGGCATATTCCTGTCTCTGTGTAATAAAGGGTGGTGGTGGTGGTGGGCAGAGATGGGTCACACAAGGATTTTGATAATGTGTTGGTGTCTCAGAGAGAGCAGATTAAGACATATCTATTATTCAACAGCACAGGGAACTAATTGTTGGGGAGAGAAACGAAGACCTAGTGTAAGTCTGCTAACAAGCTGTGACGGGGATCAACCAAACGATGGAGCAGAGAATCCAAATAGGGGAAACATTCTCTGACTGTCTGACTCACTGACTAACTGGATGACTAAATGTCTAACTGACTGGACGGTTGATGACTCAACGACTGACTTACTAACTCATTCAACCCGAGGTTGATTGATTTTGTAACTGATCAATGGTTACAGGCAAACACGCAGAATTAAAGACGTCTCAGTGATAATTTATCATCCTGGAGGCGGTGTATATTTCTTGTCAATGCTGTTTAATTCTCTTTAGCTTACCGTCTGCGTTGTTGAATATCACAGACAAACAAGGTTTAAAATGATTTTTAAACTCAACTATTGTATTAGTAAGAACAAAAAATACTTACTTTCCACAACTCTGCTCACTTCACTTTTGGTAATATTCCCTTTTAATATACAATAGAAGATATTAACCTCTCAATGCAGGCAACATTTTTGGCTCATCATCTTATGTTAATAATTGTGATGCCACATAAAACATCTGTGACGTCATTATCAATGCAGCTTGTCCTGGATCCTGTCTTTTGTGAGAAGACTATCTAAACATGACTGCATCAGCTACTGACAGTAGCTCAGCTCTTTTATTTATTTTCTCATTTTTATTGATGAAATCCCCATGACAAGAGAAAAGGGAAATTAAAAAATTAAGGTATTCATTAACATTATGTAGAAACGTGTGGTGATTCATCTTGTTAAGATGGTGGTGGTTGGTGTTTTACTTTTTTAATTTTCAATTTTAATTTTAAAATTAAAAGCTCTTTTAAAATCAAAGGTTTGTGCAGTCACTCACATCTTGTTTTGACAGGGACAATTGTAGTGATGATTCTCTTTGACCAATCAGTTATCTGCAGTGTCGTCACTCCATTTTTAGTTTCAGTTTTTCTTGCTTGGAACCTTGACCGACATCTTTGTCAATATCTCAGCACAATGTTTATTCTTTTTTTCTCATATTCATTATACTGTTCACATTATAATGTATTTCGCATGCTTTTTTGTTTTTAAAACAAATACAATCTATGTACTTGTTTATTGTATATGGGTATTATTTGTGTTTATTTTATTCAGACTTGGTTTTAATGTGATTGTGATGGGAACATCTCCCAACAAAGCCTTTTTACCCACATCAGTGGTAAGCAAGTAAAACAATGAGAAATAAGAAATCTTCTTATGAATAATATAAAACCTTAAATTAAGTAATTATCACTTTTCCTTTTACAGTAACAATCTTCCCAGCAAAACATTCAGGCAAAGTGATGAAGCTGCTTCCACAGTACTTGTTTTAGTATTGCTTCTTAGCAGCCAGACTGGTGTAAATTCTCAAGTCATAGTGATACTTATAATTTAATTATATATCTTCAAGTATAAAACAGAGCTTATGTGCCCTTTATGATAGACAGGAAATCAGGCTCAAGTTAGACAAATCAACGTATGAAAGCATTATCTGTGGGAGGTTACACATCAGATCACAGTTCATCTGTGGCGAAGGCCAAGAAATGGGTGTGTGGGAAGATAAGCAGTCACGAATCAACCTGGTTTTCCTTAGAAGTATGAGTAATCTATTGTGTCTGCACTCAAGATCAGACACTCTGTGTGTCTCGGCTGAATAGCCGCCTCTCTTTCTTTATATAAACACAACACACACATGGGCCTGAGGCGAATTAATCCGACTTCCAAGATGCAGCTAATCTAATTTGACTATAATGAAATGAGTGAAGTCTTTTACCTTTTCGTTTTTTTGGTATTTAAAGGCTTATGGTAACCCTTCAGTAACTCAGATGAGCTTGATATTGTAAAGAGCTCTCACATACACAACACACACACACACACACACACACACACACACACACCTATAATCACAAACACACACGCCAGGAATGTTGTTAAACATTCAATTTTTATATATATTTTTTATTCCACCTATTTCACAATATCATAGAAGTTCCATGAAGATGCAAATAAGAACAAGCGCATTACTTTCACAGCATTGCTGAACCAAAAGCAAGAGAGACAGAGACAGAGAGAGAGAGAGAGAGAGAGAGAGAGAGAGAGAGAGAGAGAGAGAGAGAGAGAGAGAGAGAGAGAGAGAGATTTTGACAGAGAAAAGGAGAAGACAGAGACAACACAGAAGAAAAACAGAATCATTTCACTATCATCGGTGGGCATTGGAGCCCAGGCAGGCACTTTACAAATGGGTGTCAGATAGCATGAGGGCTGATGTATTGAGGTATTAAATGGACAGACTATAATGACTGTGTTTAATTTAATGCACAGTGATGACTGGATACATGTTAAGTGTGGTTGGTCAAAGTGGGAATGAAACCCTCACCCCTGACAGTAGGTGCCCTGTTTTGCTGGAATAAAAAGACAAAGCACATTGTGTAAAACCACAGACCCAAACAGATGATAGATGATCGCTATGATAGTAACTTGGCTTGGGGTTAAAAATCATGCAGTCGCTGTTCTTGTTGACTTTAGCTCCGTTTCTACTGCAGGACCTTTCCTCCTACCTGGACTAGGAACCTTTTAAGGAACTCGGTTTCTTTTAGTGCAGAAACCAGGGTATGAATAAAGTTCCAGACTAAGTCTACACCATTTGAGTCCCAGTTTTAGTTTCAAGCTAAAAAGTGACAGTAAGGTATAATCAACTGGTGCTTTTAATACATTAACAAGCTACTTTTCCCAATCTTGGCAGGTTTTAAGGCTGCAGTGAAACCAGAGACATCAACAGGATCTTTTTAGTTCCTCTGGAACTAGTTCCTAGAACTAAAATTGTGGATTATAGGTGTAAATGCAACTTTTGATTTAGACACTTTTACCTTTGCCCTCATTCAATATAGATAAATCTTTAGGAAATATTTTATATTTTGTGCATTACTTTAACCCTCCAGATGTCTAATACTTAAAAGATGCCTCATTCTTTAATGTCTTTAAGATAGCCCCTTGTGTGGCCTTTTTTAACCAGGGCGGTTAGAGATAAGAAGTATGGATGGCTAGAATCAGAAGGAGTTTTTGGCAACACTCACTTAATGTTATTTAAACTATCCTGATAATTTATTTGATGATTTCTATCTTTTTATAAACGTATCTGCATATTATGTGTGTGGTTTAGTTAGCCAAACTTTTTTTTTGTTTACCTTTAACAATACAGCATCCAATGTTAAGCATCAACATAATTCCAACACCTCTCTCCCTTCCATTCAAGATCTGATTCACCACACAGACATTTGTGTGTTTCAGACTGTCGGGTGTAAGCTACACATTTTGAGTTTGTTTCTCCTGTGACAGGAAATGTGACTTTCCTCATGCAATTACGCTTACACTGCATCTTGTTTACCGGGTTATAACACATGTTTTCAAACTCATACAGGTTTGAGTGTTAGGATATTCTCCAAATCAACTTTGCACGACTGTGAGTGTTGTGAGAGGCTACAGCATGAGGAGCAGACTGGCACAGAGCAACATTAGCAAAGATATATTACACAATAAACACTTATAAGACCACTGTTTTACCACATCATGGTAAGCAATGTAAAAAAAAAAAGTAATCAAAGTACACAGACATTTCTCAACATGATCAATTACAGTTACAACAAAACTTATTTTGTTTTCCATTGAGTGCTGAAATCCATATAACATGATAGCTTCTCGAACCTTCCTTTTTAGCGTTAAACACAACCAATTGGACACATGACAAAACTGTTTTTCACTCTGTAGTACAGTTAAGAAACCCTTGGTAATGCTATAAAGGTACATTCTGTAATTTCTTAAAACCTTTCAAAGCTCTCAGCCTGAATGACCATTTTTTAGTTCATTGGTCCAGCAGATAGTAACCAATAAGACAACAGGTGGTACCTAATCGGAGCCAATGCTTTAACTATCATGAAGGGCTTCTATAAAAGCCCTGTTCATGCCACAAGTTGATCCACCCATGCTGCCTTAACTAATGTGATTCAGTGTCTAAACTTATTGTATCTCACTGCAGAAGTTAAGTGTGGACACCAACACTTACAACAAAACAAATATAACTTACTCTTATAAGCTCCGTGATATATTTCTGTCCACCAGTAAGCTTCCCATTCATGACAAAATACTTAAGCCCCAATGTGATACATTGTTGTACATCTTCTAAATTGTCTCCTAAATTGACCTATGGAACACGACCACTATTGGCTGATCTCTTCCAGTCACCCTTCACTGTTTGGAGTTTGATGGGTTGGATCTCTGAGCAGCATGGCAGGGGTCCAGGGACTCCTTGGTGGCACCACCGTACACATCTACATCATGGTCAGTCCAGGGGGCGATGTTCCCTAGCGCTGAGGAGCTGCATTCAGCAAGGGCGGCCACTTCGGCTGGCTTTAACACCCGATCCCACAGGTTGAACTGGGAGAGCTCCCCGACCAGGGCCTGGGAGGCATCAAAATGCCCGCCCAATGTATCCTTGGTCAGAGGAGTTGGAAAAAACAAATGGTTTGCATGTCAGAATGCTAAATTGAAATGCCAAGAGATCTTTTTAATCTAAGATTGCATGTCAGAATGCTAAATTGAAATGCCAAGAGATCTTTTTAATCTAAGAAATAAGGTTTCAAATTGATTTCCTGACCTGAAATTTAAATCCTGCCCAAAAATAATTCTGCCCATAGAGGTTTTACTTTTCATTGGCCCAGGAATTACTTGGGCAAAGCAATCTGTTGCTGAATTTAATTGACTGGGCTCGAGGAAGCTCAGCGGACAAGAACTTGTCATTGAAGTACCATTAAAGGATTAAGCGAGATGATTAAGATTAGAAAGAGTGAAACAGTGTGTAAAAAAGCTGTTAGTGTTAAATCACATCAGATCACTTCATAGCAGGTCAACTGTAACATTAAAAGCTTGGTTCACTGATGCTAGAAGTCCTTAAAAACTTTTAGTAGAAATCAGGCCATTACCGGAACAGTCAGCTGAACAGAAGTCCCAACAGCCTTAATCAATATAGCAGCCCTTTAGCCGGTATATCATATTTGGGACAGTAAATTCTACCTAATATTTTATACTTCAAAAGTACATCTCAGAAATGTATTTTAAGTTTTTAACAATACTAACATTAAACTGAAATTAATGCTATTTTGATTATTGAGGGCGGCTGTGGCTCAGTTGGTAGAGTCGTCGCCACTCAACCAGAAGGTCGAGGGTTTGATCCCCAGCTGGGCAACATGTCCGATGTGTCCTTGGGCAAGACACTTAACCCTGAATTGCTCCTGCTGCTTCAGTGGCAGTGTATGAATAGGATTAGTTACTTCTGATGGATACATAGACTACATACTACATAGCAACCCAACCATCAGTGTGTGAATGGGTGTGAACAGGTAGGTGTGTTATACTGTATAGTGTAAAAGCGCTTTGAGTAGTCAGAAGACTAGAAAAGTGCTATATAAACTGAAGTCCATTTACCATTTATTTATTCTCAACTACATTACAGGCAGTTCACCCTTCTGGGTGAAATAAGAATGGAAAAATTAGTCAAAGCCTTTATCCATCCACAGAAATGTTGTCTGTAAGTGATTCCCCATAAAAAAGATTAAACATTTTTATATCTCTCATTCCCCTTCGTGAAGGGGATGGTACTGAGATTGTCCCCATAAAAATCCACACAACACAACAAATCCACACAACAGCAATTCATCATTCAACAGAGATTATGAAAGTAGTTGCTCCCTCTCTGTGAAAATATCCATTAAATCAAGTCTTGTTGCATCATTGCTGTGTCTTGTAGAATTGGATTCCCCCCCCTCTGATTTTTTATCCTTTATGAAAGGACAACAGACTGCAGAATAAGCTTTGGCTTGTTCTTTTGACACCAGGGAGGAGGGATAATGTCAGATTTCATAACGGTTACATAATGCGGGCGTCTTGCTAATGAAGGACAGAGGCAGCTCAACATGAGGGTGAATACAATTTGGTCTCTGTCTTTCATGTGTTAAACGCTAATGATGCTGTGTTAAAATAGAACTTCCTTGTCTTATCTACACATCTAAGAATCATTCATCTATGCTTCCATCCATCCATCATCTATCTGTCTATCTATCTATCTATTCACCCTTTCCTCAACAATCTATACTTCCTTTATCCATTATATTTTCATCAGTGCATTCATCCTCTACTCATTTCCTTTCTGCTCATGCATCCATCGATCCATCCTGGCGTCATCCATCTGTCCGTCATCTTTTCATTAATCCAAATCAGTTCCATTGATATCTATACACAAAATGCATCCATCCATCCATCCATCCATCCATAGTTTATTTATCGATTCACTCATCCATATGTCTCACCTGTTCTTGTCCAAGTATTAGGACTCCTCCTGGTTTAATGGGATGCCATGCAGCCAGTCCCTCTCCCCTCCCCTTCATCTTCCCCCCTTGGTAGGCCTTCCACACCCCATCCCTCAGGGTCCAACTGACGCAGATATGTTGCCACTCGTCCTGTGGTAGGGAAAGAGGCAGCTGCGCCACCTACAGATGAGAGAACACATTTGCGACAGCTTTTCTTTCCAAAGTGACTGAATGACTTCAAGTTAACTGATCTATGACACATCAAGCTTGCATTGTTATTACATATTGGATAAGTGTGGGTAATCATGGCAGAGTGTGGACACAATTGTGTGTCATGTAAGACAAACAGCACCCAGTGGACAGTCCCAGCTTTCCTTTCACTCCAGCAGTTTACCCCATCTCTGCCATGGGAGCTATGAGTGTAAGCACTATTTCAAAAATGTGTTTGAAAAGACATTGAGGTTTCCCTCATTTCCAATTCTGTCAAGATTACAAGCACAATAAAAGGAAGCAAAAAAAAAACAGGACACATATAATCAATTACAAAAACAATAGAAACACTTACAATTGGAAACATCGTGGCTAGAAATCTAAATCTTAACTAGGCAAGAGAGGGAATAACTTCAATCTTTAGAGCTTGCTGGAGGGGATACTATGAGTTTGAGCATAAAAAAAAATAACCCAGTTCAGTGAATTCTCAACAGACTTTAAGTACTAGCCACTCAGAAGAAGAAGGTCATGGAGGTGCCAGAATTCCACTCCTGTAGGTCTATTATGTAAGGTGGAAGTTTTCTGATATGGGCTTTGAAAATATATTTAAAACATTGTTTGTTGCACCTCTCTTTAACAGAAGGCCAACTGACCTTTTCATACTGTACATGTCACAATGATAAGCGCTGTATCTATCACCAGTTACAAATCTGCATCTGCACAGTGATAGACGGTGTCCAGGGGCTTTAAAGTTGAAGTTGCAGCATGTCTATAAATTACATCGCCATAATCCATAACAAACAAGAACACAGCTTTAGCAATTCTTTTTTTTACAGGACATTTATTACATTTATTACATTCTTATTTTACTTTCTGTCGCAAGTTGGGGACAAGTATGTTCACCTCATCGAGCCAGATTCCAAGTTGTACTCAGCGACTCTCTCAATTTTTGCGCCATTTATAGTAGATATGTGCACACTCTCATAATCAATATTTCTGGCTCTGTAAAGCAACATGAACTGTGTTTTAATTGAATTAAGTATTGAATTAGGAGAGAATTAAAAGCCAGAAGAACATTTTTGAAAACTTCAGATTTAGCATGACCTAATTTAACACGCTGACGCCTATCAAACAAGTACAGTAATCCTGACACCAGGCACATGCATGTTTGATCAACCCCAAAGCAATTTACGTCTTTAAAAGAAGGTTCAAATCCAGTATTATGTAACTTGTCAGTAATGTGATGGCTAAAATTGTGATATGATTGGCTTTGACGCCAGATTGCTGCTATAAAAGATAAGCATCAGTGCACAATATAAAACACCGCTGAAAGATTGCCTCGCTCCTGTCTCCATGCAATAACATTTATTTGCTTCTGGTTAACAGACTTTAACTGTAAAAAATAAAACAACTCTGCAATTTCTCATACTCTGCATAATTCAAGGTTTTTGGATGAAAAATATTATCATCCATTTTACTGTAGTAGTTATGTTATGGTCATTCATTGCACTTAGATAGTTGTTTCTTTCTTTTTGTTATTTTAAATAATTAATGCACTGTTCAAAGGCAATGTTCTACCTTTCCCGTATCAAGGATAATACAGTACAGGAAGGGGTATTTCAGCCCCGGTTGAATTGAATGAAATGGATCGTTAGGCTTTGAGAAAATATCAATACTCATAAATTGATTAGGCTATGGTGCACTCAGAGAACGGAGCAAAACCTTTTATCAACTTTATTCCCAATTATGTGGGCTGAAACAGTAATTTGATTATTTTGAATAATGTTAGTTATTTCCACAGAATAAATTGTCAGAAACATGACACAAGCTCTTTTGAAAAAAGGATAAACCCTGTTTCATCACTCAATAAAATCAAATAGTTGTCAAAACTAGCTTGCAGCTTTATTGTTAACAGCATATTAAGCTCACAATTCCTTTGTAAGCTAATTGATTTAAAAAATAATACCTACTAAAACTACTAAGAGCTAAAAATTGTTAGAGATGCATTACATTTCCAACTGTGAAGAATCTTTTAAAAATTGCAGCTGTTCCCGACAAGCACCCCAAATTTGTCATAAACACCTGAGGTGCGTTCAATTTTCCTAGACCTTGTGAGGGGGGAAAAACCCTGTTATCTACCTTGTCATTGATGAGCAGCTCCACAGGATTGTGGACTCCTTGCAGCAGCACCAGCTCGTTCGGCTGCCCTGGCACTGAGTATGAAAAGGGGGTCCCAATGCCACCCTCTTTAGCCTTCAACCACACACAGGCAGTGAAGGCATACATCTCTGTGATCTCTTTCCTCACCAGGCCATACATATAGTTGGTCCGCATAGGGAAGGAGAGGACAAAGCCATCTGGGAAAGGTGGCTCTGTCAGTGCTTTTGAGACACAGAGGAGAAAGGAGAAAAAGTCAGACAGAAAGAGAAAGATGAGATCAGATTGAGAAGAAAATTTATACAAAGCACTCTTCTCTTCTCACTTGTCCCAGTCAGTTTGTGCACATAGACAGTGTCTAGCAAGAATTCAAGCACAGTTAATGATCAGCCTCTCTGACTCGAGGCCAAGTTGCAGCTCTTGAGGCTGAGAGAATGTACAGACACTGACAGAATTGGAGAGATCTACAGAACTAAAAAAGAGAATAAGGAGGGAATTTTCTTTCCCTTTTAACCTTCCTCTTGGTACCACATGAATTTTCAATTTCTCATCCAGGCTTCCACTCCTTTTATTAAACTCCTCTCACCTTATTCAAGTCTCTTTTGCTGTCCGTATCACTAGTAAGCTCTGGTTACCTTGATTGTTTGGGGTTGAGGACATTTCAACCCACTTGTATAGCCAATAAATCTCCTCAAAACCAACGTGATAGATGTGTCAACCCTAGAATATGGACTTGTCATAAACTCTCTTATGATTATAAAGATTTAAAGGTTACATTCAAAAGCCGCGAATGATTTCAGAAATTTGCTCATTTAATTTATGCCTCGCCTCCAGCCCTGTTTGACATTTCACAACCTTCAGCACTCATTAATCATCTTATTTTAATCTAAGCTTATTCTCTGCTGCTGCGATGACCCAGATCACCCACAGCGCTCATTAAACTTTCATTTTATCTTGCTATGCTATCTTATACATGAGCTTTGCAATGCAGCTGTTTAGCTCAACGTGTGCACCAGGTCATCTATACATCCCTTCTTTCACTTATTTAACCATCACTCTGTGTCTCTCCTCCTCCTCTTCCACCCATGCAGACTCACTGTGTTCCAACTCAGTGACGCGGTGGCTGACGGTGTCAATGCCCTGGTTGATTTTCTCGTGTTGGCCGTGCGTCTCTTTCCTCATGGCTTGACGCTCCTTCTCCAGCATCTTTATCTTCCGCTCCAGCTCCCCCTCCAGGTCCTCCACCCTCCAGGTGCCCTTTCCACGTCCAGGGGTGGTCTTGGAAGGGGGCTTGGGGGCGGGGGGAGCAGGGGAGGCGGGACGGCGGCCTCCTGGAGGGGCTGCCACAGGTGGGGAGGAAGCACTGTCAGTGGGTGGAGAAGGAGCCTTGCCAGTGCTTCCGACTGGGCTGCTGCTGCCTGTACCCACGGGTGCATCTGTGAGGTTCAAGGCAGCAGGGCCGATCTCTGCCTTGAATAGAAGGAGAAAATGTTTCAGATTTCAAACAATCAAAACATAGAGAGGCAGTCAGGGAGATGGAAAGAGATGCTGCAGAAAGGAAAAAAAACAATCTGTTTAACACAGATCTATAATGGATGCAGCCGGTCATAAAATCTGTTTGGCTTTTACAGAAGGGTTTTGAAGTTGTTATGATGGAAATGGTGGATAATAGTTTTTTGAGCAGCGCTTGATCAAATATTGTACAGACACTCCATTTCCCCCAGAGTAATAAACTCTGTGACCTTTCCTGCAGCCCCACTATGAGGTCTCAATTTTTGTTTCTGAGTGAATATCACGTCTTCAGCTTGACTTGTAACAGTTTTGTTAATCATGAATTTAATTCGAGTGAATTTAAATATGTTCTATGAATCATTTCATTACATGTGATGAAAAACGAATGACATTCCCACACCCTCCCTTGTTGGCCCCTTTATGTTTACTTCTATTATCTAATTTAAGCTTGCTAAACAATCATGGTACACATGGTTAAGACACCTGCGAATGACTAGTTAGCATGCAGATTGCACTTAGTTTCAAAGCAAAACACAAAGTACATTGCCTCTGTCAGTTTTTCTCTGGTAAGTGATTGTAAAAATTGTAATTTAGTGGTTGCCCTTTCAGCTGATGCATTGAATCTTGGAAATCATTATTGGGAACCGCATTTCCCATGTGTACTACCATAAAAAAATCAGTGTGCTCTTCAAATGTTGTTACACGCCTCTGAGATTATCTGTTAATACTCTACTTTAATGAGGGTTTAACAATCAAATACTTGTCTTTTTAATGAAGTGCTTGTATTGGACTTCGAGACGCTGACCTTTCTTTTCTCAATGTAAAATGAAATGCAAATTGTCCACTTCAACAAACGCACATCTTGAGCTTTGCGTTCCCGGGTAAGTGTTGACAGGTGTCCATTATCAATTCTATTGATCATTTTGACAAAGCTGGGAAGATAGTGCTTGTCCTAACTGGCTATTGATTGGCAGAGCGGAGGTCAATATAATGTTTGAAAGTGAACATCTGAGCCACATACTCTATGCTGATGCAAAATGTATTAAGTCTAGTTCTCTAAACAATCTAGTATTTATTATAGACTGGGTAAAAGAAGCAGACAGAACCAGCTTGTTAATTCTTCTTTGGAAGCCTTGATTTTGTCATTTTTACAGTTTTTTTTTTTTTTTTTTAAACGCAAAGTGAAGTGACCATTTTTGGACAACATAATAGACATGCATTGTTTTTTTCTGTCCAGTTCTACAGGCTGCTGTGGTAGTAACTAGTCGGTCACAGGTAGCCATGCCCATACCTTGCTTTTTATCCTAAAGATTAACAAGTGGAACTACAATTTATAAAATGAACATGCTGCTTTTTGACAAACACTGGAAAACTAGCCATTGAGAACATAGACTCATTTGGATTTGATTAGTGATGATAAAAATAACTGAGAAGTATGCTCTTTCTCTCATCTGGGTTCATGCAGTCCGCACTCGAATAGGGCTGCCCCTTCTGGCCATTAGAAAGAATACAGGTCTTAGGAACATCTGCATATGCCTCATTGAAACCTCTACCAATAGAGAACAGAGTTAAATAAAAAGAATTAGTAAAGCCCATTCCTGACTTCTCCTCTAAATAAAAGCGTTTTACCATCTCAGTCACAGTTAAATCTGAAATGAAAATGAGTAAATGACACAGCAGGAGGAGGTGTTGTATTGATGATGGTAGTAACACAGCAGCGGAAGCATTAGTATTCATAGCAGAAGTTTTAAAAATAAGGTGTTTGTGAAGCAGCAGTAAAGAGAGGGATTGCTTCTCTAAGTGTGAATAAGACGCTGCGAGGGCGATATATAATATCAAGAGAGTTGCTGAGGCAGGGCTGAATCTGGAAGTCCAGGACAATAAATTCACAGAGACAGAGACAACCATGTAACTGAGTGTGCTTGGAGAGGGATGGCAGGAATGCAGCAGTTTGTGTGTGTGTGGTTATAACACCCCGTGTCTCAATCTCAGCACATACACACATAAACCGAGAACCTGACCCAAACCCCCCCCCCCCTCCTATCCAGCCAGCTTCATCTTTTATTTATATCTCTATCCTGCTGTCTTATGCAGAGGTAAAGGGGTGGACCAGCAGGTGGAAAGATTTCCCTTGGGAGTAGGGGGGAGGGAGTGTGTGCAAGACATGAGGAGTTGTGTCATGAGTTGCTTGTCAGAGGAGAGGTGAGGTGAAGATAAAAGAGGGAGGGAAAGATAAAGTGACTGGAGGGAGTTATGAGAGAGATTGGGGCTCCTAAAATGATGAAGGTAGACACCACTGCAGGCCTTTAAATCATCTCTCTGCCGCAGCAAAGTGGCACTTTATCTGAAAGATAAGAAAATGTTGGAGAAGTACTTCTCCACTACTTCTTCTATTTAGGATGGACAACCAACCGCCTATTGAGAAAACGGGCTGTAAAATGGACCAGGCACATGCCAAATTGAGTCATGATTCACCTGGCTGATTCTGGATTTTGGTAACAGTCCACTTCCTACTGTGAAACAAAACTCAAACAGGAGGATAAACAGCAAGAACAACAGGTTTTGCCAAAGTGGGTTTTTTTTGTTTGTTTTTTAAACCTGTTGCTTACTCAGTATCTTTCAAGTTACCTCGAGTTTTTCAATGCGGTCCTTCAGGTCCATGATGGCACGGGCCAGCTCCTCCACAGCCCTTGCCGTCTGGAGCTGCGCCGCGTTCGAGGAGCTCACCTCATCCCCGGCCATGACGCGGCGATTCCCGCTCCAAACCCCAACGCTGCGCTCCGGGACGTTCCTATCATCCTCCAAGCCGCTCTCACACTCACTCAGCTTCCCCGTCAGCTCCCGGATCGTCCTGTGATCCATGAGGATTTGGTCGTTTTGCTGCAGGACCGTCTGCCGGAGCTCCTCGGCGGTGGTCCGGAGATAATTCGAGGAGTCTTCATCCCCGGCCGCATACGGGTCGTCCGCTGCTGCTGCTGCTGCTGCTGCTTATCCCGCCGCTGCCGCAGATCTTTCGTCTTGCATTCACCCACAGGTACAGGTGTGCAGATCAACCGGCTGAAGCTGAACTGTTTGGCAGACCCTCCTCCGGTTTCCTCCCCCAGCTTGAACTCGTTCAGAGTGGGAACCTCGAGCCCGATGCCGCCGAGCCCGTTCCCGTAGGACTCGGAGCCGTGAAGGGCGCCCAGCGGCCCGGCGTGAGCCACGGATCCGGACTCCAGGGGCTGGATTAGCGTCTCCGATGTCAGAGTGCCGTTGTCGCTGAGAGGCGCGGCGCTTTTCCGGGGATAAACACTGGCGATGATGCAGATGACCGCGCCGAGAAAGGCCAGGGTGCCTGCTCCAACGAGCACCACCAAGAACTTCATGACTGTGGAGATCAATTAAATGGATTACGGTTTAGGGGAAACCTGACAATGTAACAGGATTCAGAGAGCATCGTGAAGGAGGAGGAAGACTGCATCAACAGAAGCACGATCTAAACTCAGTTTGATGGCTCAGGTTGACGAACAAAGCTGTTCATTTTGCTGCTACAAATGTGCTACGCTACTTAGCCTACCTGCTGATGCTGTTTGTCAGAGGCGCTGCTGGTATCCTCTTCTTGCCCTCGGTGTGTATTATCGATGGCACCGCGCTGTCTGGACCGCAGATGCTCTCTCTCTCTCTCTCTCTCTCTCTCTCTCTCCGGATCCGTGTTGCTAAGCTCTCTCCTCCGTGCGTTACCATGGGGATCGCGCGTGAGAGGAGGAGCGAGGCTGTGAGCATGCGTCAGTCAGAGCGAGAGGTGAAGCTCTAGCAGCAGATGAACAAACAAGGCATTGATGGATCGATGTGTGCGTGTGTGTGTGTGTGTGTGTGTGTGTGTGTGTGTGTGTGTGTGTGTGTGTGTGTGTGTGTGTGTGTGTGTGTGTGTGTGTGTGAAAAGAGACAGGAAGAGAAAGACCAGGTAAGTGAGAAGGTTCAGGGGAAAAAAGGGAGAGTTTTGGTACATGCCATTTCTAATTTCTTTTTTAAAAGTATTTGTAATTTGATTTTACCATTAAGAGACACATTTTATTTTATTATTATTCGTACAAATGTATCAAAAACACAATTGTGTAAAAAAATAAAATAATAGGAAAAGAAACAAAAACATTTATTTTTGTCATATGTATTTCAAAAACAGAGACATCACGGCAGAAATCATACAAATGAAGTGTAAAAAGCATGTTTTTATTTTGTTAGTCTTAAAAAACTGTCACAGAGACTCAACACAATGACAAAGAAAATAAGAACACCCTTTAATTATGCTTTAATATAATGAGTCTTTATTAATGTTAATAACTTACCACAGCTAAGTTAATGCAGATATTTTGAAATAAAAATAGATAAGAATAAGTACATGGTGAATAAGCACTAAAAATACTAAATAAGCACTAAAATTATTTTTTAAAATTACAATAAGAAGAAATATATGAGTGATAAAATACCTGATTTAGAGCAGCCATTAAAGTTCTACTGAATGTGCAATACACACCTTCAGTCATGTATAATACATGCACACATCCCAAGTGACACAATTCAACATACCTTCTACACTTAAACAGTCAACTGTTCAAGCATACAATATGTGCAGCAGCTTGCATGTATTCACAGAAGAAACGATAGACTAATGTAGCTAGTTTACATGTGAGAGGTGGTGGAAGGAAGAGGAGATACAGAAAACGAAAAGAAGGAAAAAAAACACAGAAAACTGTGACTCTAAGGCTTCTGACTGCGTGGGAGGAAGTTGTTTTGCCCAAGAGATGTTGCAAACTAAAACTTCCCACAAACGCCAACTGAAACGCTCTGACCCTGACACAGAAGTCCTCTGTGGCCCTGTTCAACAAACAAATATCCTCACTCAAAAGCTTTTCTTCAAAGAGTGGACAAACCACATTTCAAATGTTTGCTCTTGATATTAGTCCAAATTCAATTTAAAAAACTTGCATACTACTGCAGAAAGGGCGGAAAAAAAAGCACATGTCTTTTATGGAGGGGAATTTGTTAATGAGCTTGTCATTAAAAGAAAACTGCATCTTCACATAACCTTATATTAATCTCTTTGTGAGAAAGTGACAAATTTCACTTTCTTGGTAAACTTTCCGTCAACCCACGTTGTCTACATCGCTTTCTCCCAGCATACTCAGAAACAAATGATGAACTCAGCAGACATGCTAACAGCTCTGCATTGCTGTAGCCTACTTTAAGCTAACTTTTAAAATCAGCGTACTTTATGTAAAAATACCATTATGTAGGTGCTAAAATTTAGTAGGTCACACATTCCTTGTTAGCATTGCTAATTGGCATTAAACAAAAGTAATTCGACTTCAATTTTGACTTTCCAACAATAGGCTACATTTCAAAAACTTGAATAGAAAAGTGTTACTTAATGAGCAAGGCTAACGAGTTGAAGCATAATGACTTCGAAAAAATGACCTTGGCAGATAACCAAAAGCACATGAAAAGGACTTAACAGCATGCCAATATAGTTGAGATATTTTATTCTGGATCAACATGACTAACAAGCCAACAGACTGCTAAGAAGCTAAAACACATTTCTTATCATTGTATCACATTTAGCCTCTTCATCTTCTGAATCATTTCTTCACTTTTAAAGTCTAGACGTTTGCCGATTGATTTTGAAGGACAGATGCTTCAAGTTTTTTTTTTTTACCCTTTCCTGACATAGCTCAACCTTGTGAAGAAGACTGAGTATTTCTGTAGGGGGTCCTCAAAGGAAACTTGAAATTCTTGTTCAGTATAAAGAGGCTGTTAACTTTAAGCCTGTTGCAAGGTCTGATCTCCATGTTATTTGGTCAGTGGTGAGTGGCTGAATGATGCCAGAACTTTGGAGTGACACTAAAAGGTTTGGGCCCAACATGTTTTTTTTTCTTAATAGCACCATGGGCTGTAACAGAGATCAGTTTATAAAGTTAACTAAAGTTTAGATTAATTCCATATACATTATTTTAAACATAATTTTGAAAGTGTTTAGTCACCTACTCTTGTAGCTTTTTACTCAAAATCAGTACAGTATGTAAATAGTACATTAGTGTTCACAGACTTGCATCATGTAATGGTTTAGAAACATCCTCAGTTAAAATCTATAGGCTTATATTCCAAGGGGATGAAAATGAGACGAAAATATAGAATCTGTTTTTTTTCTGTGTTAGATCTGTTGCTCCTGTGTGAACAATAGGGATAAAATAGACAAAAGAGAGACGAGTCATCTATAAGACAACAAGAAAGAATTGAATAAAATCATGAGAACAGTAATTGATAGGTGTGTCGTCGTCTGATTTATGTCACATTTTTGTGTTGAGAGAATTTTATGAGATCATAAGAAATATATGATCCTAATTGGAAATCTTACCTTTGTCTATTCAATGTCTTGTCTTAGCTGCTCTTACTCATCCTGCTTTATGAGTAAGCATCCAGTTGTTCTTCGGGTTTGGACCAGGGCTTTGAACCTTCTGGTTGCGGGGCAGTATTAACTGTTAATAATAACTCTATACTTAATTCATTTAAGATTACTATAAATAGCTGCAAAGTAGAGTAACACTCAAAGTTTCAAGGTAGTCTATGACTTTCTCAGACAGAGCTAGAGGCAACAAAGTCAAAGGATTTTGTAACCGACTGTCCAGAAATGTAACATTTTATATTTGCAGTAGTTTTTAAAAAAGAAACATGAACAATATTTCTACACTGATAGAAATGGAACCATAATTTGATGTTGAAAGAAAATCAAAGAAATAAAAGGTTTTTAAACGATCCTTTGCGCTCTGTGTGATGCTTTCTGAATGATGTGAATTTCGTGTGAAATAACGTAAAGCTCTGAGTTGCACAGACTTCATGTAAATAACATATTTATCTTCTATGTCCCATGAATGAATCCTCTTAAGTCTGGGCAAAATGAGATTTTAATCAAGGCTCATTGTGAGACAACTAATTTCTGTGTTTTAGGATGGTCTTTGAGACAAATGAAAAGATGAACAAAAATCTCCTTTTGGTTTAATATAAAGCACATTTTAGTCAAGGAGACATACATATGATCCATCTGATGAATTATACATTAAAAATGTCACAAAGTTGCAAAAACGAAGAAGAGACCTACATGCAGAAACCAAAAATCAAATATTTATTTGAACAAATGCAAACAAAGGCTTACGTCTGCGATGCAAACAAAGTCCAAAAAGTCCAAATAAATTCCACAGGGAAACAAGGAGCCACAAGGAAGCATAACTTCGGTAGGAAGACATTTCTTGGAGTGACATATGACAAACTGACAACAAGACGGGAAGGAACACAGAGACTAACACATGGGTAATCAGACACAGGTGAGACTAACGACACAGGTGAAGACAATCAGGGAAATCAATGTGCAGAGAAACCAGACAAAGGGAGGAAGTAAGACCAGACAAGAAACAATGGGGACAAGAACTGCAAAATAAAACAGGAAACACTAAAGACAAGACAAGGGAAATGTACCGTACAGGTAAAACTGCTAAAGCAACATGAGGTGAATAAAAAATAAAACAGTAAATCAACCTATTATAAAACTAAACAAGAACACATCATGGCATCTACGATTCTTTAATAAATATGTGGCCACAGATTAAATGTCCTATAAATCCTTGGGAATGTTGCCAAATGCTGGTATACCAATTTGTCATTTTATTTCAGATTACTGGTGTTTATTCAAAGTTTTCTGGCTAAGCCAATTTTTTTGCGTCGGCGAAGAATGACCCTGAGTATTGTGCTCAGTAGGGTGGTTAAGTTGGCTGGTGAGACTTTATTAGAATTTTGTACAGAAGTAAAAAGCTATATAACGTGGGTGTAGGAGTGAGAGGTGATTGAGAGCATATTTTATTGTAGTAGATTGTTATTAAAGGTTATAAAGTTAACAATTGTTTTGCCTCAACTCAGGCTCTAAAGGAAAAATAGCACATATATTTAGATTATCTGGATTTAAATGGAATATCTATTATAGACTATCACAGGCTTGAACTCCAGTCAGGCTTCCCTGCAGAGACCAGAAACACAGATTGTGGATTAATCTCCAGAGGTGGCTGATGTTTCATGCACAAATGCAGATGTGGGCCACTTGCATCAAACCTCTGTGCGTATTTCAGTTGCATCTGGCTCATAAGCCCAGTGGTGGTGTCCTGCCGGAAAGATAAAGAGGGAACAAAGAAAGACAACTGACCAGAGCCCCATCACCTCTCTGTGTCAACTCTCCCCTTTTTGCATTCATCACAGCTGGGTGAACAGAGTGGGAATTCAATAAAACACTGTCTTTGGAGAAGAAGAAAGCTGTTTGAAATAAATGTATCTATCACAGGATCAAAGCGTTCAGAGATGAATCCCAGGCATGATAACCCTGATATCACCCCAGCCTTCACAATCCCTCTGAAAACAGAGGTCGCTTTACTCTGGTAAAAATAAACACACCAAAGTAGCTCAACAGCTCCTCCCTGTGGTACAATTGAAAACTATAAAAACGTTTTTCCCTGTTAATAAAATAAATTATGACTTCATTCTGTTTTAGGAGGGAAAGGGCAATGCTATTTTTACAGTCATTTTTTCATATAAACATTTAAACCATTGACTGTATTTAAACTCAGGTATCAGCTGGTCTTATCCCAGCACATTGAGCAGCCAAATGCTGTCGACAAACATCCAGCACGCTCGAGTTCTTGCCACGTGCATGACTTTTAACACGACACACACCCACAGCCCTTATTTTAACTTAGTAATGTAGCGTAGCCTACTCTGTGCAAGCCCTCACTTAAACTTCACACACCTGCCAATCCTCGACTCACCTGAATTCTGACTTTCATTGGAAGCCGGTGCAAGGACAACAAAACCGGTGTAATACAGTGGACTTGCTAGACCTTGTTAACAATCTTGCAGGTGCATTTTGAATCACTTGTAAGCGTTCAAGGGAGGATTTATTTTTGGAAGGTCAAAAGGAAGTCCAGCCATGGATAAAACAAAAGCATGAATCAGCATCTCCAACTCAGCACGTGAGACAACTGATTACAATTTGGCAATATTTCTTTAATTCAAGAAACATGAACGAGACAGGGAACTGACATGTTGATCAAAAAGCAATGCCTGATCTGCCTCTAGGTTTAGCAGGTTGTGAAGACATCTTAAAATAGGCAGTTTGATCCCAATTTCCCACAGTCCTCGTCTCAGTCTCCTTTGAAAGATACTTGTACCGGACAAATTACAGAGCTCCTCCTGAATGTTAAGAACACTGTCGACACTGTAGACCCTCATGTGCAGCCACTGCCACACTGTGCAGTCTGTTCCCGATAAGATGCCAGTAGTGTTTCCGGGCTGTTCTTCAGCCCCTAGTAGTGAAAACTCAATGTAGCCTCAAGGTGGATAGGAGTTGTATAAACATTTAGCCTTTTTTCCTATGCATTTGTCTATGGAACCGAAATTCCCATGAGAGACGGGCAATGTTTTCAAAAAGTTAGCAGTTAACAAGAGATCCTGTATTGTGCAAGGATCCGTTTGAGTGAAGCTATTAATGATACAAAAAACATGAGCAAGAACTAACCACAAGAACTGTTAAAAAGAGTAGCAAGAAACCAATTACCAAACAGAAACAATAAAACCAGATAAAGTGCTTTTAAGGAGCTTTTAATTAAAAGCCTTGTACAAGAAACACACACTGAGAGCAACAACAGTAACAGATAACATGACAATGAATACATAATCTGTACAATAAGGGTTTGCAAAACATGCTTCAGAAGTTCAGATACATTACAATGTCATTATCCTCCATCTCCTCGTTATTACGATCAATACAATGTACATAATTCATATTAACATTAAAGCAGACCTAACTGCAGTCTTGACAAATTAAAATCACTGCCTTCTAATCAAACCCAAATATGGACTTTTAAAAAAATGGCGACCAAAGAACAGCATCACATTAACATCATTATGCAAATTCAAAAAAAGTATTAAAATACAGTATAAAGGAAAAAAATGCCATAAAAAGCAAATTTCCATTATTTTTAGCATATGTTACCGTACATTTAATTCAGCGTCCTTCCTTTTATCCAATCAGTGCTAAATAAGTCTAGCACTTAAAATTACATCACATATCAAAGTTAAACAATTCAAAAGGGAAAAAAAATGCTTTAAAAAGTCAAAGAATAAAATCAAGAGCCCTATTTGGTTGAAAGATAAGCCACTATGCTGAGTTGTGCTACCCCATATGAGAACAAAAAACATTGCTATCATTCGTTGGACACATTGCCTAGCAACCTTATACCTTACACATCTACCAACTGCAACTTCTAACCACCACTTAAAGATATCGAAGATACAGTAGATGGAAAAATCTATTTTAAACCACGACATATCCAATGGGAGAAGAAATGTATCCTTTAGTTTATGGAAAATACAGAGCCCAGTCTTGTTTCAAGATTTCAGTTAATTACTGTCCTTTATAAAAGCATCATAATTTCAATTAAGTCATTACAGTCGTATTTCAATCTCTTCTTCATGTGTAACTTTGGAATAAATCTTTCCATATGTAACCTATGAGAGTATTGAAACGGTATTGACAACAATTAGAAGCACCATTCAGTACATGACAGGAGAGGAGGCGACTCCTTCCTCATCTGAGTGAAAATCACAAAACTGCGTCTGCAACTTAAGAAGAGATGAGACATCTGAAGCTCTTCAAAAGAGTGACTGATAGAGATAGTGAAATCTGTTTACTTAACAATTGCAGTTGCAGCATTTAAGCGTGGTAGAACTGAAGAAGAGGTAAAAGTGGCCTGAAGTGCAGCCGGGGTTGAAGGGAGCAGCTATAAGGCAATACGAGATTTTAAAATAGTACAACACACAGGTATACCAGAAAAAGAACCAAAGTTTGGAAAGGTCTAGAGACCGATGCTGCGTCAGTGCTTGTATCTAATTGTTGCTGCGTTGTGAAACCAATCAGTGCTTGTATCCCCCCTGACTACCTTAAACGCATCAGTACTGATCAATCTGACCTCCATTTAACAAACGTTTTTTAAGTGTTTTTCTTATCCTCGAGAAAAGACTTTGAAAAAAAAGTGACATTTTGAATTTTAACAAACCCATATTATGATGTTATTCGCTTTGAACTTTCAAACATAAGGCCCTGTAATGCAAGCAAATCACAAGAAAATGCTACTATTTTTTCAGGCTCATACCACTGAAGCAAGCCAGAGTGAAGCCTCTGTGTAACTATAATCTACTGTTGAACTGAGACTCACGAGAAAAAAATGAACAGACTCTACTCTTGAACTGGACTATGAAATGATTTACATTGCTGATGTAGTCAGCACAGAAAAGGATCTTCCTGCTGGAAGTTGTTTAACACCAACCACTGGCTACACAGGAATTACAGAGAAATTGGCAATCCATTTGCAGTGGCATATACCGTAGTCAGACAATGATCGATGATCATTTCAGATGGGTTCCAAGACTGCCTTGGTTCTAATTCCTTATAGAGTCCACTTCATGTGGCCAAGATCAACTTGAAACTATAAGTCGGGTAAGTACATTGTTAAAGGTCAGGGACTAATGCATGAATAGTGTTTCGCCCACAGACACTTCAGCAGATAAAAACATGAGTCAAATTGAGATTGGTTCAGGGTTGTTCTTGCTGTTCTGCATGACTTAATGCAAGCACTTGTGACTGGTAAATTATGCTGACAGCAAGTCAAAGGATTACTGAATTTTGCCTAGATTTTCTAAACACCATCCCATTTAGTTTTAGTTGGCAGAATAGTTCAGCAGCATTGCCACAGACATTAGCTGACCTCAAAAAAGGCATATCGGCATGGTGTAACTAAATGACAGTTGATAACAGCTTGACTGGTTTTGTTTGAATACATTTAGTTTTCAAAAAGTTCAGTATCCAGTCATACCTTCTCTTTTGATACTGATGGATCGCATCTGGAAATGGAAGGAAATATATCTAACCACCCATGATATAAGGTTCAGAGAAAAGCTGAAGTGGTGGCCACAGAAATGACACCTTTGGAAAGTTACAGAAAGTTTCTTTCCATCCATTTTCTTTTACTTCAATTTGCAGAACCTCCTGGGAAATCTCCAAACTGAATTGACTATTTCTAGTGGTGCAACCGATCACAGTTGATCCTTGATCCAGTCAGATAACCCCCCACAGTTAAGACCAAATGGATCGATGGAATAGAAGGCAGCTTTTAAATACTGAGAGTAGGTGTCATGGACAATTAAATCGATGTAAAAATGTTTTGCACCAACTTTCACATTGAAATGGGTTGTAAAATGCTGATACTCCTCTTAGTTGGACATGCATCAAAGGAGATGCCTATTCAATGTTCAAACCATCTATCTAGCCACCACAAAGACAAAACAAATTTATGTTGTCACGTGTGTCCACTTATTCATGTGTGATTCCATTCTTTTCATTACTATCCAAAGTCCAATACTGTAAGTGAGGGTTGGAAAATATTGATTGGTATATTTAAAGCTTTGCCTTCCAGGTCAGCTCCCTCTTCAGTACAATGCCTTCATTACTGCTCAGGCTGCACCTGAGTCTCTGTTTATGTCACTATTCATTCTAAAGTCGTTCCTGAACACGACCCCAAGATACTTGAACTCCTTAGCTTGATGGAGTAACTCTCTCCCAACGGTTTGCCAGCAGGAAACCATGGCCCCAGGCTTAGGTTTTCTGATTCACAAACTCAGCTACAAACAGACCTATTGCCTGCTTAAGGTCAATGTTTGACAAAGTCGACCAAACTGCTTCATCTGCAAGTTAACATTCCAAGTGTAAAAAATAAATTTCTATTTATTTTCTCAGATACCAAAAGTCCAATTGCATTTCTGTTTATGTTATACCTGAAAGCAACTTGCACAGTAACCCAGCCATGCCTAGAAACAGTTGGTGTTAAACCTTTGTCCTCGAACGCTTGGGCTGCATTAACACTGCAGGCAAAAGTGACCTGAATCTGATTTTTTAGCTTATATGTAGAGTGATTTTACGACAGTGTGAACAGCACAAGTAACATGGAATCTGATATTTTCAAATCAGATTTGGGCCACTTTCATATGTAGATTCCCACAGGAGTCTGATACAGGTCACATTAAAAAAGCAATGTGAAGAGAACAAACACAAAAATCAATCTGAGCAAAAAATATCTGAATTGAGCATGAAGGCTTGCAGTGTGAAGGCTGCCTTAGAAGTCTTGGACTGGATTGGTTTATACTCCTGTTGATAGCAGGAGACCGACCTAGGCTAAAGAACTGTATCTATTAAAACTTGTGAATAAAAAAGCTTATTTAGCATTTTTTTCAAAACACAGAAACACCCAAAGAATCAAAATAGGTTGTGAAGTTGTTTGAACTACAAACCCCCCAGTCACTATTGATATTTACCAGCTAAAACTGCCCAGATAAAACCTTCAAACACCTACTGAGTAACTCAAGAGTTCAACAAATTGCTGTTTTTTGTCTGCATTTGGGGGGTTTGTGTTAGCCTGAACTGTGTTCAGCTAATGGACCTTCTATACCTCAAAGAGATAAGAAGTTATCTGAAATGAAGGAAGAATTTCACAACTAACTGCAGGCCAGTTTAGAGTCTTAGAGGACATTACAAAGTCAAAGATGGTGGTGTGTTAGTGAGAAAACAAGGCAAGCAGGGAAAGGGTTTTTTAACTATTTTTTGTGTATTATTTTGCAGCTTTTAAGGTTGTGCGTGCATATAAATACTAATTTGCACTGTATGTATATGCATGTGCATTCAAGAGAGCAAGAGGACAAGGCCTTGAAAAATTGATAGTTTTTTTTCGATGCAGTCAAGTGCATTGCATTTACTCGCTGTATTGATGCAATATATGAGAGTCCAATTGAGTTAAGTGCAAAACACATTATCTCATTTATCATTAACAAGCTGGACCTCCTTTGAGGAAAAAAACACTAAAAGCTGTCAATACAGCCTTCACAGCAGGGTCTGAATCAGAAAAGTATTTGTTTCTTTCACATACGTCAAGTCAGCTTGATAAAAGCTCTAAAACTCAAAATAGGGAATATTTTTCACTTTTTGGAAAACTGTTTATTGCACCAAATAAGCTAAACTCGGCATATCTAAAGCAAGTAAGAAACAAATACTATATTACTCCAACTCTGAATCAAAAGAGTCAGTGCTGTGCAAGTGGACAAAATATGTAAATTTAAGTGACATATAGGGCGTATAGGCTTCCCTCTTCAAATGTTTACAATCCTTTTTTCAAAAGAAAAATCTCTTTTGTACTATTTAGTTGCTGGGTGGTTTTAAGCTGAAATACATTTCATTTGACAAATTTGACACCTTTTAGGAAAAGGTACAAGGGGACTAGGGTGGCAACACTGGTAAAAATTTTCATCATCTATGGCAATAAATTTCATAATATCTGATCTCCTATGGCTTAGGGGGAGAAGGGTTGTCAGAGGTGTTACTTGGGGGAGGGGAGGAGGCTTCCTCAGGGCTAGTTGAGGGTGAAGCAGGGCAGGAGGCAGGAGAAGGGAATTCTTTTATGGTGACGGTTACGAGGTTGGTGGTGACATCAGTGACCACCACATCCTTGCAGCTCGGGGCCATTTCAGGATGCCAATCTGGGTCTCCTTCTGCGGGCACCCTTTTGGGTTCGGTTGGGGTAGAGCTCTTGTCACCAGGAGTATCAGAAGAAGAGGAGGCCGGCAGCTGGTGTTTAGCCCTCTGTTGGGAAGGCTTCCTTCTGCCTCCCTCTGAATGATCCGGGGCACCCTCCTCCTCTTCATCCTCCAAGGAAGAAGAGGGGGACGAGGGTAGGAAAGGAGAACCTGATGCTGTGGGGTCTTCATCTGAGGATTGGGGAGGAGCTGGTGGCTTGGTGCCCTTCTGGGTCTCTGTTTGAGGTGTACTGGACTTTGGACCTCCAGTTGAAGGTGGGCTCCTGCAGATCCCTGGGATTTTGCAGCTGCTGCATTGGTGGTTGACTTTCCTTCAGAGCAACTGGAGTTGGAAGGAGAAGGAGGCGACTGGTACTTGGAGGAAGAGGAGTGGGAGTCCCTCGCCCCTGTGCTTGAGCATGACCCTGGATGGGAGGGAAAGGGCTGAAGACCGCCACACTGTAGCCCAAAGGGCTTCCCATACATGGGGAACCCGAGCATCTTCATAGGAGGCTGGAATGGTCTATAGGGTGCCTCACCCTTCTTCCCAATGATGCGATTGCGTGAAGGTATATTTTGGCGTCCTACTGTATTGTTCCTGCCGCTTGTAGCTGTACCACCCCTACCTGGCTTGTCAATGACCTTCAAGTTGAGGATGATTCGGCCCCTCTTGACCTCCCGGGGTTTGACTCTACGGTTGAGGATGCGCACGGTTTCTGAGAAGGGGGAGATGTGGGGGCGGGAGGGGAAGCCACCAGGGTTGGAGAAGGAGGATGCCATTGGATCTGAGCGGGGAAGAGGGCGCCTGGACATCCGATGGCACCGATGAATGTCTTTCTTCAGCTTGTGTGTGGCTGCAAGGGAACTGAGTTTAGGAGAGGGTGCTACAGTTGAGGAAGAGGAGGATGAAGATCCCAAGCGATGAGGAGCGGCGGACGTAGAAGGAGAGGGAGTTGCTCTGCTGGAAGTGGACACAGAAGAACATGATGTGGTCTGGCGGGAATTAGAGATTCGGCTGCTGTTCCCTCCTTTCCGACCACGAGCCTGCTGGAGATGGTAAAGAAGCGGGAAACCATTTTTTCCTATGTTGTAAAAACTTTAATTCTTCAACCCGAATTATTCTGACATTTTGGAAAAGTGTGTTAAACAATATCAGTCTTTGAAGCAAGATCTTTGCGGTTTGCAGGCCAGAGATGTTGTGTTATGAAAATACAGTTAACATATTACACTTGTTTCAAAATAATTGTTGTACCTATATTTTATATTGAAGTCACATTTATTGTGGTGGACTAATATTGGATGCAGTAGAAAACAGCTACTAAGATTTACTATACATGAATTACTATAAGTGGTCATGCTTGCAAATAGTCTCTAATAACCTCTGCAGTATAAGCTGACGTTAATATTGGGACTCATTGGATCCAAGACTTTGAAACATCATGCGAGATAGATAAACTTCTTCTAACTTTGAAAGGGAAGTAGCACATTACAGATGTGATGCAAGATACTTAAGCCGTTTTCACATATGCACTCCGGATAATATCTAGATATTTACAAGAGGACTTCTCCGGAGATTCTCCCGACCTAGCCGTTCACATATGCTCCTCACACCGGGGGACTTTCCCTGTCAGAGGGGAGGGGCCGCGGAGGGATTTCCCGACGTAAGACATGATGTAAATAAACAACGCGGAAGTAGTAGCAACAGAGTCCCTACACGACGTTATAATGAGAATATTTGCCTTTATATCAATGCTATGTGTCGTCCAATGGAATGACAACATCCACAAAAGAGTGGAGAACAACAAACTGACCAACAGAAAATATAATGCAGCCATTTAATTACGTGCACGGAGATTGTAGTGGTCGCGGGCAGAGACTTTATGCTGTCACTGTATATAAATGTAATTCTCTTCCCATTGGCTGAAATTGAAGTCTCCGGAGTATATGCTGCCGCGTTCAGACATCAGCTCACTCGGATATTCTGCGGATAAAATACTAGAGGCCTGGCCAGAGAAACTCAGGGTAAAGTCCGCGCGGAAAATGCGGCTGTTTGCGTTCACACATAGCCTAAAGAACCTCCGGGTAGACTAATCTCCGGAGTTTTTCAGGGGATTTCCATATGCGTGAAAAGGGTTATAATTAGTGAGTTCCCATCAGGGATTAGCAGTGATCCATGTTAACACTACAAAAACTATATGGCACCTATTGAAGAATATCAGGATGGAAATGCTTACAGCTGAGGCAGTAAGTTGAATGTTACTTTTTCTTATTACTAACGGGAGATTTGTGTTCATATAGTATTTTAAAATATATGCTAATAACATACTACTGGAGGGCTTGTGTTTTTTTAGTTTACATGAGAGACTTTTGAATCACTACTGATGTGCTGCAATGTCAATAAAAAACTGTAAAGGTTAAAAGGCTCATCTTTGTGCTAGATATAAAAACAAGGATCAAATTATTTACCTTCATAGCAAGGGTTTTGGGTTTTGGCCCCCGTTTCTTCGGCCCATGCAATTCTCTGTCTCGTTCCCTACAAAAAACAAAAGACAGTTTAACAAATATAAATGGCAAAAGTAAAAACAGTCTTAAAAAAGAACAATGCAATGAGATCAAATACAACAGTTCAGAAAAGGAGATGCTGATGACAGCCGTGGTTGGAAGAACAACTAGAGCAGTCAGTTAAAGAGAAAGTTTGAAGCCACATAAGAACACAGCCAGATTTGCACACATCCGTTTTTGTTTCCATTTGATGTCTTTAAAGGTTTGTTTGTTTTATGGTGTCCAATTTAATTTATTGTAAACATTCTCTGTCAGCAGGACAAGGCCTTCAAGTGGTCTGGCAGCACATAAAGGACTTCAGGACTAATGGCCATTTTTACAATGAGGAAGAGGAGAGGATGAGGAATGTAATGGCACTTAAAGGTTCAATGCAGGAGAAAGCACTTTTAGTAAGCACGTGTCTGCTGACATCAAACAAGCTTGATGTATAGTTAGAGGGAGTGGGCGATATGACTTTCATATCACAGTATTTCCACGCACTACCACCCCCGTCTCTCCCTCAGCCTGTGATGCTATACTCGTGATGCAACTCTCGTCTGTGCATACGATCAGAGATAGATGCTTTTATAAGTCACTCTGTGTTCAGTTCTCAGGAGGTTGTAGTTTATAAATGAAACTGTGTGGTTTTAAGTTCTGTTTCTCTCCTGCAGGGTTGTTCTAAATTGTTGCTGATGAAAACACCACATTTCTTGATAAGGGTATTTCATAATAAAAACATTTCCACTACATAATAGATATGGAATTTTATTGTGACGGTTTAGTCAGAAATAATTTGGTACATTCCCTTTCGGTCAAGATTCTGTCATTTGTAAATTTGTTGGGGACTGGTAAAAGTGTTCTGCCACTTGTAAATTTGTCTCAGCGCTTGTAAAAGTGTTTCACATGGTGTAATTTTGTTTTGTCTTTGGTTAAAGTATTTTGGGTTTTAATTTTGTGTTATAAAATGTAAAAATGTTTTTCAAAATGTAAATTTGTCTCAAGATTAGTCAAACTTTCCCCCCCCACCCCACGCCGGATATCCAGCACAGTGCTGAGGTACTTTAAGCCGTGTGTTGCTGTTATTGGCTGAAACTGGGAGAAGGCAGAATAAAAGTTTTGCTGTGCCACAATTCACTTTCATTGTAAACACTGACACTGGCTCTAACATAACGAGTAAACAGCGTCTTTAGAACAGTGAGAGTTAAACACCGCCCCAGATCTGAGTGTCAGTACTGTGAATGGTATGTTGTGCAACCAGTGCTGCCTTGTGTCTGCACTATATCCACACATGCAACCAGCAATGATGGCAAAAATACCGGTGCAAGAATTGGTACAGGTTAACCGCCCACCCCTAATAGTTAGATGTAATATTAAGCTGTGAATAAATAAAAAGAACAAAATAAACCAATTTTATACACTGATGTAAGTATATGACTATGACATCCCCACAGCAAAAATCAAACAACAATTTAAAACTTTTTTTAAATAGTGCATGAAAGCTCATTGTGATCTCACTTTACTTACTTTTGCTCAAAGCCCAGTATCAGCCTATCATCTAGAATATTCTCCTCTGGCTCCCAAGTGCTGTGCCTAATTGAGGATGGAGAAACATGAAGAAAACACACACAAACATACACCAAAGTGGATTTATTCCACAAGCTTAAATTTAATGATGGCACATTCATGGCAGCATGACAACGCAGTCTAAATAATTGCTTTATAGAGTTTTGTCATTTCCAACTCAAAGTAAAGAAAAGCACTTACTTCATTGCCCAACCTTTCCACTTCACCAAGTATTCAAGTCTTGCCTGCAGGAAAAAGACACATGATTTATTATAAAAACAGCACACATGTTGCAAAAGGTAACTGCGACTGCAGAAGTGCCTATTCTACTAATAAATCTTTAGTTCTGCACGTTCGTGAGTCAATGGGTGACTTGCTGTGTCTTCTATATAAAACAAGAAAATCCTACATTTTTCTAATGCTACATAACATAATGATATAAGATAATTTGACTTAAGAAAGTGGTAGCCCTGTTTCGTCCATATCTGCAGTCTGGTTAGTGTCATGCCTTAATTTGATTATGTTTTGAAGAACATACTGTACTGATAGTTTGACATTGCATCTCTTTTAATCAGAGTAGCGTATCTGTTCCAATCTGGATGTATGTTGAGCTGGCTCTTTAAATGAAACACTCCCAGTGATACCACATATTGTGCATTCAAGTTTTCTCCAAAGAAGGAACATGATCATTTTGGCATCATTTTCAAAAAGCTGGGTCTTTCAACAACATATGTGCGAGGAGCCGACCTCAATCATTTACCTGCTTTGAGAAAGTGCAAAGAGTACATCTCCAAGGGGAGAAAAGGGGGGCAATTAAGAAAGTTCTAACATCCCAATCAAGGGTGAATAACAGCCAATTAAGATGCTAACCCATGATTTATCTATTGTGGTTGGAATATTTGTGTTGATTATCACTGATGATATTTGAGACTCAATAAGGTGCAGTGGTCTACAACAACATTTAATGAAGCTTCAGACTCCTCCACAGGCAGTAAAATGCAGACTGTGGTCGTATAGCTTTAGCCACAATTCGCTGACAGAGAAAACGGCCCCCTCCATTTCATAGCACGGCCCTCTTCCCATCGGCTGGGCTGCCTTTTCTGAAGCTAGCCCCTTCTTTGTGTCGCTGGTTTTTATTGCCCCTGCTAATGCCTGAACCATACGAGCCATGACTGGTAGCCTCGATGGTTAGCCTCTTGCTAACTCTGGCGTTTAAAGTTAACGCACTCGACGGAACAACAAGGCCTCTTTAAGATCGCATAGGCACCAAGAAGGCGCCCCCCAACCCCGAGTTTATAGGCTCGGAACAGTGCCGTGCCGAGCTGTGATGACCTGGGCCAACATCTGCGGGAAGTCAAAAAAAAAAAAAAAAAAAAAAAAAAACACGCGGGACGGCTCACCTTTCGGACGCGGCGTTTCAGTATGGCTTCCGCGGCGAAAACGCGATCTCCCACCGCCGACAGCTCCATCTTTAAGTGCCTGTTTGAAGCTACCTGCCTGTGTTTCCTCCCTCCAAACGTCAGGCTCTGCTCTGTGATCGGGCCGACCACAACCAAACTATGAGAAAAGAAGGCAGACACACACACACGCACATACACATAAACACACACACACACCGCTACAGCAGCAGCAGCAGGGCAGCGGCGTAGTACGAGTTGGCTGTCACGTGGCCGGGGTCAGCCCCCTTCTGTTGTCTTGGCAACGATGAAGACACTCACGAGGGATGCAAAGAGCCGCGAGCTTCTTCGAGTTCTCTTCTTCTCTGCTTTGATAACAGGCGGCGCCATGACAGCTCCGAAATTTCGGATTTAGTTGGAAAAAAACATGTTGTAATTTCTAAGTACTTGAAAAAATAAAAAATAAAAATATATATATATATATTTATGCATTTAAAAATAGGCTAAATGCAATGTAGGCCTATGCATATCTTATTTCCCCTCACCAGGGCAGACGTAACATGAATAGCTAAGCTGCAAAAACTCCATATACCTACTGCAATTGCACTTTATAACGACTCCCCTTTTAAGAAAGGACAGAAGACATTTAAACTTTTAAACTTTAGCCTGAGCTGCATATATCATATATCAAACTGTATTGTGGGCTCATGTTTTTTTGTTTTTTTTTGTATGGGTGGGATATGTATGTATATATGTGTTGTGTTGTGTGTTTGTATGTATGCTCCCTGCTGGGATGAATAAAGTATATCTTATCTTTATCTTATTTGCAGTACAGATGAAGGTGTGAAGAATAAAGCAAGCCCTTAAATTAACAGGGATAAATGCAATCTTGTAAATAAAATACAAATGTGCTGCACTTGCACTTTTTCAGGAATAAATGTAAAACGCGATTATTTGCATTCAAATACCCATCAGAGGCACAATTTACACATCTTTTTTCACTACATTTAATAAAAAAATATAGACCATAGACTGTAAATATTAGACCCAGGCATATCTGCTAAAACTCTAAATGCTTACAGTCAGACTAGCATTGTATGATGCTCTTAATCATAATCAGCATTGGACATACAACCAAACATTATAAAGAGGTTAATATTACCTCAATATTAGCTAGGTTTGTATACCAGAAATACAATAGCCTAGACTAAAGCTTTTAGTGGCCAGTCACAAAGCAAAAGTGTGGGCTATTTAGGATCACTAGTGAAAAAGGAAAGCCTAATAGTAAAATTTCCCAAGATGACGTGGTACTTTTTGTAAGTGCCAAATATGCTCGAAGAAAAGATAAGATAAATAATTAGATTTATCTTCGTTATAATTTATTCATTTAAATCATCAATATTTTCCTAAAGCTCCTCTATTTGCCTTTTTTTTGCTATAATATGTTATCTAGTCTAGGCAATATGAATTCGGTAGCCTGAAAGCCACTTAAGACTTAATTAAATTATAACTATTTATGTCACAGGTATTTTCCTTGGTAGTTGGATAAAAACAATCCCCCATCATCATAGCCCATTTGTAATGTCCCACCCATTTTACCGAGCGGCTATTATTTTCCCGAGTTCTGATTGGAAGAGCTTACGTCACTCAAGCTTTGTAGCAAGCTTGGTTGAAGTGTGGCGGTTGTTGATGTGTAGCTGTCAGAAGTCAGATAACGCAGAAGGAGAAGTAGCAGGTAAGAGTGCACGGACGGTATCGAGCTTAATACGAGTTAAGGGGATTAGCTTGACATGTGAAGTATCTAACAGTCGCATAGGTAGAAATAATCGTTTTTGAAAGGAAACATAAATGGGTTTTTGTTGATAAGTGTGCTTGTGGCTTTTAGCTGCTTTGGTATCATGTCATTGATTCAGTGTAAACGAACTCGTGAGCAGTATGAATGGAGCTACTTGTTCATTATTTATAGGAGGACCACACGTACTTATTAAAAAAAAAGAAGGTCTTGGAGTTAAAAAAGCAAGCACAGAGTTTACGTAAATCTAACCCGAGATAGCCTTAGAGGTAACGATGATAGTATTAGCTGTAACGTGACCTCACCATATTTGAGACTGTCAACACCCATTATGTGTAATATCAGGAATGTTACACCTGTTGCTATTGTGTGGGGTTTACATCCTGTCTTTGGGGTGTAATAAATCATTCATTGATGTTGAAAGCAATTATTTAGGCTGCAAAACAGAGCAGCTAGGAAGATGTTCAGAGCTTACAATTTCTTCATGTGCTGCCTTAAACTTGTGTCCTATATCAGGTTGGGGGGATAATAGATAGTACTGCAACAGATTTTCTGTTTCTCTCCTCAAGCTCTCTGTTCATTGTTTCAGGAGGTCAAGATGCAGTTCCTGGGCCGGCTGTTGGACACAGTGTCCTCTGTGTCAACCCTCTTCACCAACCCCTACAGGGTCCGGGATGTGCCGCTGGCGGACTACGGTGGTGGAGGAAAAGTCCTGCTGAAAGAAGAGGGACGAATTCTCCTGTACAAAAACACCCAGTGCCAGTCATGGGACTGTCTGCTTATGTGCCCTGAGACACCTGCAATGACTTTGAGGTCAGTATCTATGACATTAAAGACAGGAAGGATAGTCATGGGATCTGTGTCATTTGTCACTGACCTAGGCTTACAAATGCACACGTCAGCTGAAATGACATGTATGCTTATTAGATGTAGATTTTGGTATCATTCGATTCCATGATCCCCTGAATATTTGGTCATTACTTTAAGACTTTTACTTTTCTTAAATTAAGTTTTTGATCACTATTGATCCTAACAATTTACTAACAAGGAGGCTTAACAAAATCGAAGCCCTCTATCCTGAATGAACCAGGGTTGCGTCATTCAGTCAGATCCGCAAATCAAGCAACTGAGTTAAGCTAAGGATCACATCTCACAGAAGAACAGGACATGCTATATGTAGGTTAATGTTGTACGAATACCTTTAAAATATATGTATAAAATCACTAACAAAAGAAGGAAAAAACAAATAAGTCAAATACGGGGCGCCGTTGACCTAGTGGTTAGTTTGCTCACCCCGTGTACATAGGCTACAGTACTCAAAGCGGATGGCCCGGCTTCAAATCAGACCTATGGCTCCTTTGCAGCTTCTCATTTCCCTCTCTCTCGCTCTCCCCCTGATTTCCTACCCCATCCACTGTCCTGTCTGTCTCATGAAGGCATAAAAAGCCCTGAAATAACTTGTTTTTTTTGAAGAAGTCAAATTGAGTCCAGATATGTTAAATCTGGATCCAAATATTCGTCCTATTTAAGGTTGACATTGTACCCTTAACTACAGTTGATCTTTTGAATAATCTTTCTTAGTGGAGAAAAACGTTATTCTGATTCATCTTAACTGTTTTCTATACAAGTGTGTTTCAGATTTCACTTCATTGTTCATGTGAAATATTATAATGATATGATATTAATAATAGGACTATATGCATCAGGCTGTTTCAGGTGCTATCAGAGGAGGACGCCATGAACTGGTTTCCACAATTTGCTCTCAAGCTACGTCCTTTCTACGAGACACTCCCTCTGAAGGCAGAGAACACGCAGCCAATCGTGGACTGCATCCGCAACCATCCAGACTGGAGCTCCGCCCACATTGCTGTTGATACAGGCCTGAGAGAGTGCCTCAAACATAACCACGTCCAGAGGTAAAACAGGCAGTCATATTTTAGAAGAATATATTAGTGCTCACCGATCGAGATGAATGAGGAGTGGATTGTAGTTTGTAAGCCACGTCTGCAGAGACATTCATTATAAAGCATTCAGAATGAGCTAAATACATACAGAAAAAAGATCAGTTCGTAATAACCAGGCTTTAAAACCCTTTTATCTAATTTGCAGGCTTTATCCTGCTAGCTGCAGATTAATTGACATCCCTCTATTTGTCATGTAGTGTTTGGTTTTCACTTATCTCATAGTAGCATGATTATCAGTTTGCATCTACTGTGGAGCTACTTGAGACAGTCAACACAGTCACACATGTAGTTCTGCAAAAAGAATTCAAAAGTACTGTGGGGAGAAAAGGAAACAGAGACATCATTACAGAACCTATAAAGTGAAAATGAAAGTGGAAAAAAAAAACATGTAAGCAGCCAAGTCTAAGATCTTAGAATTTGGAGTTATTTTTATCAGCTTACAATAAGAAGATTGTAGTCTTTTCCTAGCTGAACCCCATTAAGCCTTATAATACTGTCTAATAAAATTCACTTAATAAACTGGAGGAGATTATTTATTTACCTTAATCAACTCTGAAGTCTTTACAACTACACTTGTATACTGTGGTGCTGTGAATGGAAAACAATTTATGCCCCGAAGGAGCCAAATAATAAATACAAAAACAGCCTTAAAACTGGCTACATCCTCTTTTTGTCTCCAGTCAGATCAATGCCAGGGATGCTTCAGGTCAGACACCGCTGCACCTGGCATGTGAACGTGGCGACTCGATGTGTGTGACGGAGCTGCTGGAGGAAAGCCAGGCTCGCACCGACATCAAAGACCGTAATGGAGACACGCCAATGCACTGTGCCGCCAAGCAGGACTCTCCTGCCATCATTCAGGTCAGCAGAAGCGAGGTCACAGTTACATTTCAACTGATCAAATATTCACCCAAGTAGGGCGTTAAAAGTTTTATTGTCAACATTAAAAAAAGTTGTGAAAACATTTACATCTTTTTAAACTGGCAGTAACGCAATTTCCGTTTGTTTACTCCATCCTGTCATCCATCACTCCATCTTCGTGTCCTCATTTAGGTCCTCTGCTCCCGGCTCTGCTCAGGTGTAAACGAGCTGAACAGCCATGGGGAGACGCCGCTCCACGTTGCCTGTCGTTTGGGACGTGTGGAGTCCGTCAAAGCTCTCTTAGGGGGTGGGGCCAAGTGTGATGTCATTGGTAGCGCCGGCTACCCCATCCACTGTGCAATGAAGTACAGTGAGAAGGGGTGAGTAGTGGGAAAGGCGACAGATGAATAGCAAAATGGAGTTCTCTTTTCTGCTGTTGCTGGGACAATTCTTACTTAGACATTATGAATGTGAAACTGACATTTTTCTGCAGATTCCTCAAAGATGCTTCCCCCGGTGCCTTGCTTTCATTTGACTTAGACCTCCAGATGCTATATGCTATACTCTTTTGCAATATGCCTTCAGAACTGGGGTTTGGTTGAAAAAAAGCCTCTAAGCTAAATAACTAAAGAGTGACAATACACTACTTGAATGTTTAAATAGCTCCCCTCAGATACACTTTGCTAAGCAATATAATACAAGTCAAATTATATTTCTGACTTTTCATAATAACTGTGTCAAATGGAGACCTGCTGACTTATGTTGTTAAATTTCCACAAAGTTAGTTTAGTGCATAATAAGAAATGAAAGGCTTTTTGCTAAAGGCAGAAGTAGCCACACTGAGACTGATTGACGAGCCTATGCAGAGTTTTTAAGAGGTATCAAATGGTGACTTCGTTTAATTTATAGTAAATAATTAATTATTTCTTTTTTGTCTGCCTGTCAGCTGTGTGGAGGAGATCCTCAAAGCAGACCCAGGCCAGCTCCAGGCTGAGGACTCTATGTATGGAGGGACACCTCTCCACTGGACCAAAACAGCAGAGGTGAAAATGGTCACATCAATGTGTTTTGTGATCAAAAATCGATAATGAGACTTTTCATTTACTGTACATGTTTGAATGCTTATTATAAACATCCAGGGATGATGTCCGTGTTACAACTTTACGTTATAACTTTTAAGACGAGTTTGAGACCTTAAATCCAGCTCCAAGACAGAGCCAGTTTCCCGTCATTGGATTGCCCCGGTCGCTCTTGGCTCTCAAACTTAAGACATTCATGTTGCGTGTCAGATATGTTTCAGGAGGAAATATAATGCAGATGTTCAGATACATGTATCCTCTCTGTTTACCAGATGTGTCGTTTGCTGCTTGAACACGGCTGTGCAGTGAACTACCTCAGTAAGACCGGGGAGAGCGCCCTTCACATTCTGACCAAGAAGGGACGCTTTGAGGCGGCCATGGTGCTGCTCACACACGGCGCCAACGCCAACCTGAAGGGCCAGGATGGAAACACAGCTCTGCACCTAGCTATGAAGGTGTGTGGACAGAATATAATCCCTGGTTCTAATTCCAAAAATGAAAGCTATAATCCTGTACATATCACCAAAATGCTTGTGTTTTTTTTTGGTGTTTTCTTTGCAGTAGAACATACACACTGTATGCTCAAGAAATGTTACCGCTTTTTCTCCTTTCTTAAGATGGACCACATAGAGTTGATCAAAGCCTTGATTGTGTTCGGGGCTGATGTTGAAATTCACAACGACCTGGGAGAAACACCAGGACTCATCGCGGCTCGCACAAGCAAAGGTTAGAGAGAAAGTTAAGAGAACTTCAAACAGCGAGGTGAAAAGTTGAGAGGTAGGGAAGGAGAGGAGTTGTACGGAATTTGAATTAAAGAGCCAAAGAGAGAAGGAAAACAATGACGTATGATGAGTTTGTGCAGCCTTATATACTTGAACTAACAGGCGGGTTTATGAAAAAATTGTGTTTAATTATAGAGTAGTGAACTAATGCATGGAAATGGTTGGATTTGTAATGAGTTATTTACAAAATCACAGAAGGAATGTAAAGATGTTTGCGTATTCATTCAAAGAGACTATATTCTTGCTGAACATATTTGTTGCTTGAGATGATGTGATACCAGCCACTCGATGCTCTGAAGCAGACGAGCTGATGAAGGGTGTTTGCTGCCATGTATTGATTCTGAAAATGCATGATGATGGCTAACAGCTTGCTCATCTTCTTGCTCTCTCTCTTTCTCTTTCTCTCTCTTCCTCACTCTTTGCCTCCTTCTATCTCTAAATCTTCAATTACTATTTTCTTTCTTTCTGTTTTTTTTTTCTTGTGTGCGTGCATGTCTAACATGTCTGCTTGCATGTTTGTATGTGTGTGTGTGTGTTAACATGAAAGGTCCTAATAGAAAGATACTGCTGGACATGCTGTGTAGTGTAGGGGTCCAGCGCTGCCTCCCACCTTCCCCTGGCAGTCCTCCCCCAATCTCCTACACAGCCAAGCCTGCAGCCATAGGTAACACTACCATCCCTCCTCCTGCCCTCCCTAAGCTGTAGTCCTCTCCTTAACTTAATTGGGGTTTTTTTTTTCACCCAGTTATCATATAAACTGGGAAGTTGTTCAATCAATCCACGTTACTGTCTTTTTACATTTCCTTACTGATCTCATTTAAAGCAACGCGTGTTTTGTGCTAATGAGGCAGTAAGGGTTGGGCTAATTTAATATGCCATTGTTAATCAGACATGGATCATGGAGCCACATTGGGATTCACTTTTTTTTACATTTTTGAACTTGAAGTTTTGCCTTTTTTTTCTAAGAGCTTGTGTGAATAAAATAAATGTAATTAATAAAGATAACTTTTGTTTTATAAAGTTGAACCAAACTTTCTATTAGTTCTCTGTATATAACTCCTCCTAAGCTTGTAGAAAACTGATAGTTGTCCTTCCCTCTATGTTATCGGACTTTGAGCATGAATATGATGATGTGTGGGTCCAATAACTGTCATTGGCTGGCAGGGTTTGATGACATCATGTTTATGGGGGCTGCAGTCAGTGCAATGAGCAGAGGCACCACTGAAATGGATGGCACCAAAATGGAAGGAAAGAAGTGAGATTTATTTATTTATTTATGTTCGACTAATATTAAACATTTGTTTATGTTGCACCTCTGGAGTTAATAAAACACTCTTTTTTTTTTTTAATCCTCTCCTCCTCTCTGAAGGATTGACAGACTGCTGTGTCTTGATGGTGGGGGTATAAAAGGCTTAGTGTTGATCCAGATGTTGATCGCTCTGGAGAGAGAGGCTGGGCGGCCGACCAGAGAGCTCTTCGACTGGGTGGCCGGCACCAGCACTGGAGGCATCCTGGCTCTAGCTATAGTCCACGGTGTGTGCGATTTTCCTTTTTTCCCCCCCATTTGATTTCTATGTAACATCACATTAAACCAATACTGACTTTCTTCTTTTTGTAGGTAAGTCCATGGAGTACCTGCGCTGCCTCTACTTTAGGATGAAGGAGCAGGTGTTCAAGGGGTCGCGACCTTATGAGTCAGCCCCACTGGAGGACTTCCTGAAAAAAGAGTTTGGAGAGAATACCAAAATGGCAGACGTCCAATACCCCAGGTAAGTGTTTATGCTTAATGGTTATATGTAGAGAACTGGACTCTTAAGACAGGGAGGACTCACTAAAAATGATGAAGTGCTTGTAAGCAAACGTATAATTCAACACTGTGCTACCTCAAGAAAATATGAACCCATACTCAGGAAGACTTTCCCTGAATATTCAGTGTGCAGCCAATGACTTTGATGAATAATAATTCAGCAGTTGAAAATTATAAAAATGTCTGTCATCCAATGTAAATCCTGGATTAAGGGGTTTAAAAAGAATGTCAATTTTTCACCCATTTTTATGAAAACAGGAGTTGCCTACATTTCACCTCTTTAACCTCTTCTTTCTGCTCATACTTGTTTCTGCACAGAGTGATGGTGACCAGCGTTCTCGCCGACAGACACCCAGGCGAGCTTCACATCTTCAGGAACTACAACCCTCCCTCCATCCACAGAGTACCCCCATATGCCACCAGTGCCACGTTCATGCCCCTCACCATCCCACAAGGTACTTGCACAGTTCTAAGTGTAGTTGTCGGGCCACTGCAGCAATGCTTAAATGTCGTTGTGGATGGGTAGTGCAGTAAACAACCACTGGATGGTACTGTCAAGTGGATTTAAAGTTCTGGATTGTTTTCAGGAAACGAACTCTGAAAAGTGAGGCAATGTGTAAATGCAAAACCTTAAGCCAGTCCTTTTGTGTTGTCTTGAGTGCAAGCCGTGTTGTTGTTGCAGGATGGGAGGATGAGGATGTGTTGATAGTAGGATACACAGAGGAGCCAGCCAGAAAGCGTAGGAAGGTGACAGATGAAGGTGTGTCTCTGCGTTAATGAATACATTTCAAAGGGAGCTGATTCACGAAAAGGAATCACATTTAGTCACTCACAGTTTTCAGGCATCACCTCACAAGTGACCACTTTTTCCATATTTAAAGGTATTACTTGACACTTTTTGAAAGACACTTGAATGCTTCCTTGCTGAAATGATAACAATCACATCTATTACAAATTAACAATTTACGACACGCTCACATGCTGGCTTCATGGGGATCTTTTATTTTCCAAAATGTCTAACTTTTGTTGGAACACAGTAACATTCAGAAATATGCAAATTCTTGGCAGCAAAGCAGCATTGTAGCCCTTGGCCTCTTTCAACATGGGTGAATGTCAAATTTATGTGAGTTCTAACAAACTTTCTCTTCAACTTGTAGTCTTCAAGCCTGCACGCAGAATCAAAGTCTGATCAACTGTTTGATACCTTTCTAAAATCCTCAGTCTATCTTTGTCCCTGTCTTCTACATCAGAACAACTTGTGTGGCGAGCTGCCCGCTCCAGCGGCGCTGCCCCAACCTACTTTCGACCAATGGGCCGCTTTCTGGATGGGGGACTGCTGGCTAACAATCCTACACTAGACGCCATGTCAGAAATCCATCAGTACAATAAAGCGTTAAAAGCAGAGGTACCGATTGCAGCATCTTATTTATCAGTTATACTGATAGAATGATAAATATCATATGTCCTCTATTAAGTTAATAATCATGGAATTTGTCTTTGAAATATTTATGTATCTGTTTTCTCTTTTTGTAACTCTTCTTACGTCTCCTCCCTCTCAGGGCAAAGAGAGGGATATCAAGAAGTTGGGTATAGTGGTCTCCCTCGGTACAGGTAGGCAGCTTTCTGGGGTCTGAACATTACACACTGCAGAATGCACTTTGAGCTTTTTGTGAGTAAGCGGTACAAGTGCATACATGTGGTGAAGCTGCTTCTTATATTATACTATTATGCTGTGAATATTTTTTATTTATTTTATTTTACTTTTATTTAACCCAGCAGGGTATTAAGAACAGATTCTTATTTACAAAGACGGCCTGGCAAAAGACAAAAGACTTTTGGGGGGAGGGGGGCTGGGGGCTGACAAAGAAAGGTATATGTCCAATCATATGTCCAATTACAGGGGCGCTGGTGGCACAGTGGTTAGTGCGCGCGTCCCATGTATGGAGGCTATTGTCCTCCAAGCGGGCGGCCCAGGTTCAAATTTAATCTGTGGCTCCTTTCCCGCATGTCACTCCCTACTCTCTCTCTCCCTGATTTCCGACTCTATCCACTGTACTGTCTCTCCATTAAAAGCACAAAACAGCCAAAAATAAATCTTTAAAAAAAGCTTAAGTTGTCCTTGTTTGTTCACAGATCATGTAACTGTGCTGCTGTGTATCTCCAGGTAAACCTCCTCAGGTGGTGGTGAACTCTGTGGATGTCTTCAGACCCTCCAACCCTCTGGAGCTGGCCAAGAGCTTCGTAGGCGCCAAAGAGCTGGGCAAGATGCTTGTGGACTGCGTGAGTTTAGCTCAGCAAATCAGTGTTTAGCTCAGCAAATCAGCAAACACTTTGTTTACTAATTAAATCAATGCTCATCATCCAATTCTAAAAATTGTACCTTTGTTTCATATATATGAATTAACTCAGAGCTGCCTCTGCTGCTTTTGTGGAGCCTTTCAGTGTTCTAAATGTGTCTGACAAAAGAATACAAAAGGTTTCTTTATTTAATCTAGTTCTGAATAATCTATCTTTCTCTGACTGAACAGTGTACAGACTCTGATGGATGTGCAGTGGACAGAGCCAGTGCCTGGTGTGAAATGATCGACACAATCTACCACAGGTCAGCTGACTATGAATGTTCTAACTGAAACCTTGTCATTTTAAAAACGGCGGTTTAAAACAAATACAACCTCTGTCCAGATGTGTATTTTAGAAGCATTTCAAAAGTTATCTCCGTTCATACTACAGAAAAGCATAGCACATGATCATTCACAAAGACACAAATGTAAGGTGGACAGGCATGGCCCAGCGTGAACAGGGAGCAGATTGTGTTGAATAACTCTGGTTGTTTAGCTGCAGAAATAACATGTGAACAAGACTCTTAAGGTAAGAAGCAAGACCACAAATGTATTTGTAAGCACAGTGTTGACCACATTGAAATAGTGTAAATTCCTAATCAGGAAGCACTCAACAAGTCTCTGTCTTGAAGTTTTCAAAGCTTTTTTAATGGTTAGAAAAGGTCAGAGTACTGCTGTGCGTAATTGTATTATAAGTCAGTGTATGAACCTGCTGCACTTCAGCTCTCTGCTCTCTGTGCTGACCCTGATTTAACTAGTCATCATCAGCTTTACAGACTAAACATCTTCATCACTCCATCTTAACTTTGACTCACTTCTCATCATCGCTCATATTCTTAGCCGTTCTCTTTAATCAGATTATAGTATCACAATAAAACAAAAACAGGCCGCATACCTGGTAATTCTGCAGTATTATCTGTTCACTTTATCATTTATCTACATATATATATATAGCTTTATAGTGCTTTATTTCTTTCTAAGATTTTTTTAAAATTCTTCACTGTGTCTGTTTTTTTTTTTTGCAGATTGAGCCCTCAGTTGTCTCAGGAGGTGATGCTCGATGAGGTGAGTGACGCAGTCCTGGTGGACATGCTGTGGGAAACCCAGATGTACCTGTACGAGAAGAGGGAAAACCTCCAAACTCTGGCAAAGCTGCTGCTGAACGAATGAAAGGACAAGAAAGAAAAGCGTCACCAGAACAGACTGCGTAGATGGGACTATGGAAGCAAGAGCGGGTGGAGAAATATGAGTGAATCGGAGAGTTCCACGTGTAGTCAAAGACAGGAATGTTTAACAAAGAGGCACAAAGATTCATGAGCTATGTGTTTGATTCAAGACTGTAACATATGTGTGGGTGTGCTCTCTCTATAGAATCTTTAAGGTGACATTTAAGCCAACATGACAGTAGCAAAAACATGAAACAAGCAAACAAAAGAACTGACATAAAATTACTGACTTTAACATAGCCTATTGAAAGGCAAGTTGTGAAGCATTATGTGACCTTATTACTGACTACATTACTTTCATTTTTCTTACAGTTTACTGTTTAAACATCAACTCTTGAAGGACACAGAGTTGAGTTTTCAAAACTCATGTTGGAGGAAGTGGTTTCAACCAAATTAGAAGAAAAGTATCCCAGGCTGACTGAAACTGCTAGATGTCACCATTCCCCTTCTCATTTCAACTTTTCTTGTTCTTCTTTCAACAAGTAGCTACAGAGACGCTTCATAAAATAATCTATAAACTGACTTTTTCTGTTAGGCCACATGATCTAAGGGACCCTGCAGCAACATCTAGAGCAGATTGGATGATGGTGATAAATGACAGACCATGCTGCCTTATGTGTCTGGGACCATAATTTGTACTCTTTCCTGTCTCGTACTCTCTCTTGAACACATTTTCATGCCTCACTTTCTGAGTTACTCATACTGACTATAACACAATGTTTTACTTCACACCCAGTGATAACTTTCTTGCACTGTTCTAACCAATCATTGTCTCTGTCCGTCAAAGTGTTTTAGCACTCTTCTTTAACATGCACTGTCACAACTGGGCTTGAATCTTGACTTGAAATGTCACATTACTTGAAAGACAAAGAATCAGAAGGTCCACTGCTACTTGCACAACATAAACTGGAGGTTGCAAATAATTTCATGTGTTTTTTTTTTTTTAATTATTGAAGTGTATACTAGTGGTAACACAATAAAATATATTCATGTGGACTAAAGTTTGAACCATTACTTGTATTTTTGTTTGTTGCAGCAGCAGTCACTCTAGTTTAATTATTTGACTTGTTATTTAATTCAAGCGTGGCCTGACTACTTCCTCATATTTATTTATTCATCACTGTGGCCAATTTGGAATCAGGCATAAATGAGTAAAGTTTATCTAAAGGTACAGTTGATTAGCTCACAATGCTTTCACTCCTTAATGGAGAGTTTATAAGTGAACACAACACTTAAGTTAAACCACTATTAAAACATGTTGTGTTCTGGAGGAAATGAAATTGAAGATGTGATGGAAGAAGGAGTCAGACTGATCACTGGAAAAGTTTTAGGAATATAATTAACTATAAAAAGAGACATACTTGTGAGTAGGTGATGTCTTAATGCAGAAGGTATTTATTGGGTTCAATCTTCATACAGTTTGTTTTATTTTTACAGAGCATTTTTCCAAATTGATTCTATTTTGTCATCAGAACTACTAAAAGGACCTGGTTTGATTTCCTAGAACCGACAGGATGTCCAATCAACGATCTCAAGTGTGCTCCTGAGGTGTCGGTCAGATGCTGGATGTCTTCCTGCTCATCAAAGTAAGCTGATGTACTAATGATAAACTCTTCTTCTGTTTGGTTTTATGGCAGTTGACATCCATAAGCATTGCATTACTGCTGTCTACTGGATAGTGTATTCTTAAAGTGCAATAAGAATACACAGTCTACCCAAAGTGCTCCCCTCTCTTGTAAATATCCATTCTATAACTCGGAAACAAGCCCCCCCCCTCAGTCCTCTCCAGTGATGTCAATAACATCCAGAAAACTTCTGTCAGCATCTTCTAGACCCATCTTAATCTGTTCTGACTTTTCTTTTATCTCCACAGCACAATGTATCACAGTGGCAACAGTAAGAGAAGCTGTAAAATAGACAAAATGTAAATGATTCCCTTTTAGAATGTAAAGGCTGAAGGGGGAGAAGTGACTCACATTTACTCAAGTTTTAAATCACTCCCAACCTTCTCTCTTGTCCTCTAGAGGGAGCTAAATTACAACACATATCAGCAGGTACAGGATTGTTATACAGGACATAACAAGGGGGTCGTATGTATCCAGTTCCTTTTTCCAATTGTCACTGTTTTGCTGATGTGATGCTGTTAAAGGGAAATGCGACTGGCCATCCCTGTCTTGAGTATAATTGAACCAAACAAAATACTTTTTGTGAAAAGTCTTCAGATAACATTTGTGACTGGCACTATATAAAAAAAACAAAAACGATTGATTGATTGATTAATCTCTCTGCTAACAGTTTAGCAAATCAACAGTTTTGTGTATATTTGTGGTATTCATATGTGCCGTGTGCTGGATAATGCATGACTTTATGAATGAATTCACAGTCAACACCTGACCATGAGATCCATACATACCATGGAGAAAAACAGGAAGGCTCCTCTAGTGTGATAGAGTCATGATGTGTGTGTGCATGCCGGTGTGAATCTGTGCAGTGACCAAGAGACTTGCAGTATGAAGAAGTGCTTTTTTTTAATGCTAAAACTATTATTTTGTATCATACCTAGTTCTATTATGATATATATAAAGCTTACAGAAAAAGTGTGTAATTTGGACATCCATCAAAAATGGTGAAAGTGTTCATTTGGGATTGTTTTGTGTTTGGCCAAACAGCTCTGTAGTGCCACCTAAAAAAGTTCTGACATGACACCTATGCAGAAGGATCCCCCCTAGATGAAACCTATTTATATAACTCACAATCTATTAGGCTTATGTATCCTGTTAAGACCTACTAATAAACCTTTCGGAACAAGACACTAAACATATTAGAAAGTATGCCATTTTGAAATTATTTATGGACCTAAACTTGATCATTTTATTGAGCTTTATTGGAGTACTTTAACATGAAAGATAGAGAAAGATGCTTTAATAATCCATTATTTACAAAGTTACAGCAGCTACAACCACAGTCAAGAAGTTACATAAAAACACTGGACGTAAGACAACACTGATTGGACGACCACAACAATGGGCAAATATATTTAAATGATTAAAAAAATGAGAACAAGGAAAATGGATCACAGCTCTTAATGCAGATTAGCAGAGGCAAAGCTGAACCTCATGTATGACCAGCTAGCCACGATAAGCCTGCTACTGTTTTGACATGACTCAAGTGTTTTTAGCACCAGTGAAACCCATTAGCAAGCTTGACAACCTCTAACAGCACTGATGTGGGACAAGACAGAAGGGGATTGACTGTTTTCATTCTGCTCTGTGTGTAACGATGAGACTGTTTTTAATACTTCTCATACAACGCTCTCCAGATGTACTGGATGTTTAACTGTAAATTAAAAGACCATTTCTGGTTATGAACTAACTATTAATGGACTGCCATGTGCTTTAAATCTGTTAGCTATTGCTGTTATTACATACACATGAATGAAATGAATTTAAGCTCAATTGGTCTTAATTTGAACATCTTGGCTTTGTGGTTCGGGTGCAACATATGCAAAGAAACACATCACTTACAAGAGACTTCAGTTTGATTCTTCTGTAAAGCGTACCCCGGTATGTTGGCTTCTCTGAAGATGTTGGCTTATTTTCAGGCAATGTAATGTACAAATGTTTTCTAACATTGGAATTCTAGTCAAACAAAATCTAACTAAGTACAGTAAGGCAAATATGTATTATTAGCTACATTACTTACCATAAAACTTGAATTAAAATGATGGGCTTTAATTGGCTCCACTCTATAACCTCCCTTTACTTTTTATTGGGATAGGCGTCAACTACATAGTCATTATTTGAACAACATCAGGGCCCCTAACCAAGCTGGCTTATAAGAACAGAGTGAAAGCATGTTGGCAGAGCTGCTTTAAATTTCAGGTGGTGTGCAGAAAATGAACACAAATCAATCATTTTGTGAATATGGGTTATGGGTTACAGTTCATTTATAAAGTGGAATTATTCTGTTTTTACTCAATACTGCTTTTACTAGAGTGTCTGTGTCAATCCAGTCGAAGCAATGCTCCAAAGCAGCTCTCAGTGCCAAACACTACCAGACAGATTAATAAGACAAAACAGTAATTGTTCCTTTAATACCAGGTCCAATCCTCATCAGCTTTTCTAACTTTCCCCTCTGCGGTTCTTCGTCCTCCCACTCATGTTCAGCCTCTCCGGCTCAGGCTTGTTGAGCATTTGTCTCTGTCTTATACAGCTTTTTAATGACTTCTCTGCAGAGATATGACGGAGAGTAAAGATGGCTGATGAAAAGGAGAGCGGATCCAGGCTACTTCATGTCTCAACACAAGTGAGAGTCTCCTGTCTTCCTGCCATCACATGCTGGCGAGTTGGCAAGCAGGTAATAACAACACTGTATAATAATTAACAAATAAACACACACAAGTATGCTCTAGTCGTGGTCTCTTTGCCAAAATATGCAGTCAAAAATAATACTGTCTCAGCCAATGCATTCCAGTGTGAACTTCTACATCAGTTTTTTTTTTAATTTGAAGTCCTGTTAGCTGTATTCTTTATTTAAGAACAAATGGTAGAGCTTTGAACCAGGCATGTTTTGCAGTTTGTGTATTAAACAGTACACAATAAACACGATGAGTAACAAGCAGCCTCATACTGCTCGTTTGGCTTCATCTGTCCTCCTGGTGACTGGTGTTAATGAGACATGTTTAACTCATTTAAAAATGTATTTAATTCATGAGCAAAGGGACAAAGATCTGGAGTAAACATAAGATATTCTTAACAAATGTTTACTCACTTGGCTAGTGTAGATCCTATTACTGTGTCCTGTGGTCTTTTTCAGCAACTAGAATATTTCATGTAATAGTTTTGATGTATGTGCACACGTTAAGTAATTTGAAACCAAATGTGGTCAAGACATGCAACATGACAATGTCAAACTTCCCCTAACTGAGTGTTAAGGAGGGTGGCATAAATTAAGCACAATTAACTTTGTGCAAATGATAAATGGACAAAGCCCTCAAATTATAGATAATAAGATACACTCCTGCACTGTGATTTCACACTGTGATTTTTAATTGTGCTTTTTTTCAACCATCTGTCTTTTGATGTGATTTGATCGTGATGTGAGGATTACTTAGCTTGTAATGCAGGGCAAATTTCCGTGGAAACAGCGTTGTTGTGTGACTTTGTCTTAGAGATATTCATTAAATGCAGCAAAGTAAGCTCTAGTTAATGTCTTACAGTCAAAATAGTTTTTTTACATATTGAGTGCATGCAGCAAGATAGCAGACCAGAAAGAACCAGGGCTGGCCAAGTCCAGTACATGACATTAAGGGTAGCTCAGTCTGAAGTAAGTTGTGTCCTGGCTACAGCATAGCAACTTCGTTTGTCTCTTAAAGAAGGGGAGTGTAGGTATTATGTTACTTTGAAACAACAATGCCCTACATAGATATATGTTGAATTAATCCTGATATTAGAATCCTTACATTACGGAGCAAAACCACGGGAAAAAACCTTCTCAACGATAAATGTATAATGTCATTAATTTTTCTCATTTTAAATTATAGTTATCATCACAGATTGATGCACCTCTTCAATGCAATAAAACAGGTAAGATATGGCTTTAAACTTAAAAAACAAAAACAAAATAATGTCTTTATTAGTCATACTGAGTGTATATATTTACAAACTAGTGGGGTGAATTTTGCCTCCATGGAAACATAAACATAGGAACTGCCTCCATCTCTGTTCCACTCTGTCTTTCCTGCTGCTCATTAACAATCACACAAAGAGTCTGTGTCATCGCCCTGATTAGAGTTAATACGATGCTTCCTCCTTCATCTGGACGCTGGTGTGGCCTTCAGAGTGATGCCATGATGTCACCTGACTGTTTGTGTTACTGCTGCTTGTGTATCACTCACACAGGACAAACACGACCTCTGCTCCTTCCCTCCATTACCCGTCTTTAGACAGCGCAGCATTGTTCCCGAGCCAAAATTACCACATCAGCAGCCCTCCAAA